TGGTGGAGGGGACTATTTTGCCCGAGGCTAGCATTTCATCCAAGTACTCCCGGAGTGCCTTTTGTTCCACTGGGGAGAGCGCATAGATCGGTCCCCATGGAGGCTGCTTTCCTTCCATAAGGGGAATGGTATGGTCCCATTCAGAGTGATCAGGTAGTCGATCGGCTCCCTCCTTAGAGAAGACGTCGACGAAGTCCTGGTACTCCATCGGTATAGCACTAGCGAGAGTCTCGCCTACCAATGCCCTTGCCCAGAAGGGGTGTTGCTCGATCATCATCTGTGTCTCGGGTGACGACCTCAACAGCCTGATGACCAGCTCTTCTGGGTCTTCTTCGTATATATCATACATGGTCCTGAAGCATTCCTTCACTTGACAATTGATGTTGTCGAAGGTGACCTTGTTCTGTCCCCAATGTATGGTAGGTTGATGCTCCTTGAGCCATCGATGTGGTATGACGAGGTCTTCTCCTGCGAATGAGCCAACCTCACAGACGATGTCTCTGTCTAGATGGTTGCCGACGCGGAGGGTAAGGGATTGGGTGATGTGAGTGCCGGAGTTAGGCATAGGGGTACCGTCAGCCTGTCTGATGATGAGGGGCTTGGGTCGAGGTTGAGTTGGGATCTTAAGACGATGGACACAGTTCCAGGACATAACCCAGTCCTCTGTTCCGCTGTCCAGGAGTGCGTTGACTGTTTCTGCATTTTGGGTACTAGTTGCGGGGTGGTTCCAAGAGATCTCAATCTCAAGGCGGGTTTCTTGGTGATGTGAAGACATGTTCGTATGTTTAACAAGTGTAAGGTAAGGTAGGTTGTTCTTTGGTATGAGTGGGTTGATGTTGATGGTTTTTGTTCTGAGCGCGGGGCGAGGGAGTTTATATAGAAAATTCGAGCGTTAATAAAGATCATAGTACAACACTTACGCACCAGGCGTTTCGGAATGTGACCCCGCTTCTCGAAGTGTGTGTAAAGAGAATTTAAATTGCGCGAAATAACAACCGATAGAACATAACACAACCCGATCCCTTTAGAAAAGTCTTCCTTCCAAAACAGAATAGAAAAGCCGTAACACAACATAGAATGAAACACCGCATAAAATAGAAATACCCAATCAATTTAGTCCTCCAAGTTCGTAATCCTTGCCCTGAATGCCTCATTTTGTGGCCCTAATTTCCGTTTCTTATCACCCTCCCTTCCGTTATCCTTTCTCCCGGAAGGATACTCTTTTCTCTTCAGGTTCGTTAACCTGACCTTACTTGTCGCCACGCAATCCTTCACGAAGTGGTTATCTCTACCGCAACGGAAACACTTTCCTTCCTTCTGCCATTTCTCCTTCTCTTCTTTGGTGACACCTAAGTCATCCGAGGTCTTGGAGTTGTTGGCTGATGCGGACAGAGTTTTCCGAGGATTTGCGTTGTTGCGCGATTTCCGCCGTTCCGTTTTTTCCTCGCGAGATTTCACAGTATCCTTTCCTCGCAGGATTTCTTTCCGAGCCTTCACCTCGTGGTCCTTGCGTCCAACTTTTCGTACCCAGGTTAACCATTCCACGAAATCTTCGGGTTCCTCAATCGCGTTAGAGAGCCTTTGTTCCAGCGAGGAGTTTATTCCTGTTAGGATCATGGACCTCATGACAACTGGTCCAACTCGTGCGTCCCATTCCAGGTTCTGCATCTCGTTAATGTAGTCGTCGATTGGGCCAGTTTGACGGAGCTTGTCCATCTTCTGCTTAGCCTGCTCCTGACTTGTACGGTTGCCATATTGGGTGCGAAGTTCCTGCTTGAACCGTTCCCAGGTTCCGATGCTGCTGTCCAAAGCTAACCTCTCCGTAAAATTCCGCCAAAAGTTCGCCGCACTACCGGTAAACTCGAGGGATGCCCACATAATCTTGGTGCCGTTATCCCATTGGACCTTCTTCTGGAGGCTGATTAGAATTTCCATCTGGTCGATCCAGAGTCTTACGTCTTGATCGGCTTTTCCGGAGAAGGGAATGTTGGCTTTTTTGGGTGCATCACCTATGGTGGCGCGAGGGGGGTGTGAGAGTTCTTGCTCTCGTTGGCGCCTCCTTTCGTGTCTTCGTTTCTTACGTTCCAGCCGCTTGCGGCGTTCGCCTTCCGAATCTGAGGAATCCGATGGGGATGATCCTGGTGCTTCTGGGGCGTTACCTCCCTTATTGCCATTCCCGTTACCCCCACCTTGTGCTCCTTGACCTCCTTGCTTCCCTTGTTGGCTGCTATGCTTAGGGTTGCTTCTTGGTGCTAGGCTTTGGTCTTCGAGGTCTTCACTGGATTCGGAGCCAGCTGGAGGGGCAACTGGTGGGTTTTTGGGGGGTGGTTTGGGAGGTGGGCCTGATCCTCCGCCTCCTGTTACTGGGGCCAGTGGTCGTTCCTCAGCCGTTTTACGGGCTGTTTCCTTCATCTGCTCCATCATTTCCTCTAGAGCCGTCTTTGTTCCGGAGAACCCATCTACCAGTGAGGCCTGCTGCTGCATGGTTCTTTCCAACTGTGCTAGTGTGGCTGCCACGCCTTCTGGGACTTGGGCTGGCCCTTCCTTTGGTAGTTTCTGGATCCAATCAGCCAGCATGGTTATATGCTGAGCCTGCTCTTCCTGTCGCTGTTGGTGGGCCCTAGTAGTGTTGACGATCTGTTCCAAGACTTGACCGAGATTCGTAGTAGTTGCGGCTGTTTCTGCCCGCACTTGCGCGAGGATAATCCCTTCGCGATGCTCCCGTTCTTCTTGGTCCTGGTTGAACTTCACCTGCAACTCGCGGATGAGTCTGGTCTGCTCTTCGTGCTGCTGGGTAAGCTGCGCCGCGTGCTGCCGAGTAATTTCCCTGATTGCGGGGAGGTCTTGGACGCTCACAGTGAGGTCTCCAAGTCCGCGGCTCAGCTGCTGAACCACTGGGGCTCCTCTCCGTTCGATTTCCTGCCCGATGATTTCTCCAAAGGGGTGCTCGATACGGCGTTCCTCTACGTCCATATCCGTGTCCTCGTCTTCGTCCGTTACCCTGGGGACCGAGGGCCTCGGAATAGAAGACCTCTCTCTGATTGGCGTTTTGTACGGGGAATAGTCTCGATAGTCCCCTTGCCTGCGGGAGCGGGGTTGGCCATAGGATGCGGCCGGCTGAGTCGATCTGAAGAGGTCGCTGATCGGCATGTCCAGATCCCTCCTGTGGCGCTGTCTCGCCTGGGTCTCGACTATACCTCGATCTCTCACGGTGATCGAGCTCTCCATGTTGTAGTCTTCCTCCATTTGTTGCTGATGACCCCTTGACATCGCTAAGTTGCTCGATTCTGAGTTGTGGCTGTCTTCTGCACCAGGGTTGAACGACGAACCAAGGGACGGAGTGAGCTAATCCGTGGGATTGCTGACTGAGGGTGACTTTAATGGGGAACAGTTCGGGATAGTTGAGAATCTCCGGGTAGTGTTCTTCGAATGCGCAAGTAGTACCTACTTCGGCAAAAAACCCGGCGTACTCAAGGTATCCGCAATAGAGGTGTTCGGCACTGCCTCTGCGAACGACAAAAGAGGTGGTGCAAGTAAAGTTGTTGATAGCTGCTGTTGCTACTCGGGGATGCATACGGTATCAAAGAGTCCTCCTAATAGGCTACTTTCTTATTCTTTTACTTGAGCGCACGGTGACTATCCGCCACAAACAAAATACTCTCAAGTATTGGTCTAAGCAAGTAGTTGTCTTATCGGGACGTTGATAATATGCGATCGATAAAATAATAGCGTAGTGGATAAGGAACAATATAGTGTTTGGGGAAATGCCAATGCTAAGCGGTAGTTCTGTAGCTTTTAAACTTGTAATATTGTAAACCGGATTCCGCTCGCTGAGTGACTGATGATGCCACTAAGACGAGGCAGAATCCTCCTTATTTATACATATTGGAACCTATGCCAAGGCCCGCTTTCTAATACTAAAGAGATAACGATAATAGAATAAGATAATCAACCCGAAGATAACCCCAGTAGAAAAGCGCCCCCGCATAGTTCCGTTCCTCCATTCCAATTCTGACACGTAACCATAAACCCCGCAATTGCCAGTAACCGAGCTGTATCATGCTATTGTCCTAGAGCTACTTCCCTAAGTAGAATGGCCTGCAGCCATAAGCCCCGCTTCTATTCCGTTCCAGGTGAGACACCCAATAGTAAGCGTGCCCTCACAACAGCCTAATACTAGTGTGGTTGCACCCGGTGCCCCCACACCCCTCGGTACCTTCCTATGCTTGTTCCTTTGTTACCCGACCGTACTCGCATCACAACCCATCACTCATATTATCCTTATTCCTTGACTTAGGAGCAGTGTTCGTGTTTCCTGTAACAGAAGCAGGTTTCTTTTATGTTCTTTCTGTTTCTGTTATGCGAGGGTATGAGTCAGCATTGGGATAGGGTATGGATATATAAGGGGGGCGTTGTCTCGTGATTTCTTGTTTCTCTTTCTTTCTCTTTTCTCTTTATGCAACCTCTGTACTTTACCCGCTCGCCTCTGGCTCGCGGTAGGATTTCTTCCCCCCGAGATGGAGTTATACTGATTCTCGAATTGCTTCGGTCCCTGAACTTCCCTCGCTCGACACCCCCCATTCTTTGCTCGTTCGGTGCCCTCACGGGATGCGTCCACCGTTCACCCCTCGCCAAACCAGCGGCTACTCTCGAAAGCCGCCTTCGCCCCTCCTTACTTTCACTCATCGCACGAGTGATCCCACACGTCGGGTACGCACACTGTCAGTAATCTCCAGTCAGCGAGAACCTACTGCCAAAGCGCTCGACAGCTCGCGAAGTTAGCGACCTCTCGGTCGCGAAACTATCGTCAAATTTTTTACCGAGGTCCCGTGACCTTACCCCTCTTTATCGGCCTTAACCAGGCAACCCTTTTTACCCGAGGCGGCCCGCTCCCCTCACCCCAACCCAACCGGTCTCCGAGACCACCCTCAACACAATACGGTCGGCACTTTCGATTGCGACCCCCATACATACTGAGCCTTCGGCTCAACCCTTTTTGCATGTCCCCTCCAGAGGACACCACTTCAATCACGACTCGGGCACAGTCTTTAGCCGTTGCTCTAGGGACCGACGACCCCACCCACTCCTTACTTGACCTACCGGTCACCACTCTTTACTTCCTCGCTGTTTGACAAGCAGATGCTCGAGGACCAATACTCAACCCACCCCCCCTAGCTTTCACCCCTGACGCTGTTGCGGTTGGCTTTTCCTGCCTTCGTGCGCGTGGTTTCCCAGTCCTGTTAAGGTTCGTCCACAGATATGACACCGGGAACTTTGGTAATGATATCGTTTCGATTGAACACTACGTATAGGATTGTGCTCGCTAATGTAGTTGACGGAGAAGTTTGGGGTTTTTCTTCTTACTACGGGGAGGTTTCTTTGTTGTCGCTTAGATTCTGCTTACCTGTACCACTTGTTATTCGCGCCCTCTTCGTGCGCTGTTTTGTTTTATTATGTACGCGGTTCTTGTAGCTGCGGTAGTTAGTTTTGTACTTCGTTTTTGCTTTCGGGTTAGTCGGTGGAGGTTGTAGTCGGGTAGTTAGGTGTGCGATAAGCTTCGGGTTCTATGCAATATAAGATTCTCTCTCTCTCTCTGTACTTTACAGTTACGAATACTATTTGGTTCGCGCTACGTCATAGGGTTTACCCGGTATACTAGACCAGGTATAACCATCCATAGTCCATAGTCCACAGTCCCCGTTCTTGCCTTAGGTGTACCCTTCGGCCCCATAGTCCATAGTTCACGAACCTCCTACGTCTACGTCCACGTCTTCGCCTCGGTTGTATTCCTTGGCTTCATAGTTCCTACGCCCATAGTCCCCGTTACAACCAGGTTCGAGGCCGTAAAGCTGAACAACGGGCCATTCGGAATACGATGGCACAATTTACCGCCCCCACCGCTGTCGCACACCTATCTCATACCGCCGGAGGCCTCGCCCCAATGGACCTCTCCGCCCTCGAAGCCCATCCCACTCAATGCCCTACCGCCGAACAATGATACACTTTTGTCAATAGACAATGCAAAACCTCTGCCGCCGAAAAACAATAGCGAAGGGACAACAATCTCTGTATGTACTGCGCTAACCCCAGCCATATCTTTGCCAACTGTCCCTCTGCCAATCGCCCACGCGGTAATCAACCGGTTATGCGGGGTGCCCTCCTCGCACCCGGTCATACTACCGCCGACCCGGCTGTCCTACCGGTCGCTAGTCCCGCCTCCTCCGAGTCGGGTTTTCAGTAGTCCCAGGCTTGATCAATGGCCCCTGCCCGGGACCTTCTAATGTTTCTCCTTTGTCTGCGTTTTCTATCTCTGGCTTCTCGGTATCGTCTGTGGAGGATAAATTGGATGGGGATCATTTTGTTGCTTCTTGTAAAATTGTAAACAATAGAATATCCATTCAAACCCACGCATTGATTGATACCGGTTGCTCAGGATTCGCATTCATTGATGAAACATTCACACGCCATAACAACCTCCCATTTCTCCCCCTTAAATCACCCCGCACTCTTGAAGTCATCGACGGACGGCCCATATCTTCTGGACAGATTACTCACCTCTGCTACCTACCGCTATCAATTGACTCTCACCATGAAACTATCCCCTTCTTCGTCACCAAACTCGGCTCGTACCCACTCGTACTCAGAATCTCCTGGCTTCAATTACATGACGCTACGTTACGGTTTAAGGACAATACTATACTGTTCGACTCGAATACTGTAAACGCAAGTGCAACTCTTCCGCAATACTCGTTCCCATTAGAGGGATTGCGCCACCGCCCCGTTTCCACCTCGTCAGTTCAGCTGCTTTTTATCGCTTTTCTCGAAGGGACAAGCTCCAAATCTTTAGCACAACTATTGAGGAAATGGACCAAAACATAGGCGAGGCCCCTAGGGAAGACTGGAGGAACCGAGTCCCAACCCGGTATAAGAGGTTTCACGAAATGATGGATGAAAAGTTCGCTAACGAGATGCCGCCTCGCCGCCCCTATGACCATAAGATACCGCTTAAGGAAGGGAAAGAGCCCCCGTTTGGGCCACTTTATGGTATGTCCCATGAGGAACTTATTGTGCTTAAGCAATACATACAGCACAACCTCCAAAAAAGCTTCATTCAGGCCATCTCTTCGCCTGCCGGTGCCCCTGTCCTATTTGTTAAAAAGGCCAATGGAACACTCCGCCTCTGTGTCGATTATCGTGGCCTCAACGAACTCACTGTCAAAAACCGCTACCCGCTGCCGCTCATCCGGGAAACTCTCGACCGCTTCTCCAAAGCCAAGTAGTATACCAAACTTGACCTTCGCCAAGGGTATAATCAGATCCGAATGGTTGAGAGTGAAGAATAGAAAACAGCCTTCCGTACACGTTACGGACATTTCGAATATACGGTGATGCCCTTCGGCCTTACCAATGCGCCGACCACCTTCCAACACTTCATTAATGATTGCGTACGCGACTACCTTGATATGTTCTGTACAACCTACCTTGACGATATTCTCATTTACAGCGACACCTTCGAGGAACATCAAGTACACGTCGAAAAGGCCCTGGAAGCCCTACAAAGAAATGGAGTACTGCTGAAACCAGAGAAATGTGAATTTCATACACAAAGTACCACCTATCTCGGCCTCATTATCGAACCCAATGGTATTAAAATGGACCCAAGGAAAGTAGAGACAGTGAAGGATTGGACCGTCCCCAAAACAGTTAAGGATTTGCAAGTATTTCTAGGTTTCGTTAACTTTTACCGCTGATTTATACGCAGATTCTCGGAACTGGCTTCCCCCCTTATCAGACTGACACGTAAGGACATATTATTTGAATAGACACCTGAAGCCCAAACTGCCTTCAACGCCCTGAAAGAAGCCTTCACAACGGTTCCTATTCTTACTCATTTTGACCCGGAGAAAGAAATTACTGTGGAAACCGACACATCTGACTATGTCTCTGCCGGTGTACTCTCCCAATATGATGATAATGGTACCCTTCGACCCGTCGCATACTTCTCAAAAAAGCACTCCCCTGACGAATGCAACTACGAGATTTACGATAAGGAATTACTGGTGATTATTCGATCTTTTGAGGAATGGCGACCGGAACTTGAAGGGGCTGCACATCCAATTGCCGTCATTTCCGATCACAAGAATCTCGAATACTTTATGAGTACTAAACAATTCAACCGGAGACAAGCACGGTAGGCGGAATATCTGTCACGGTTTAATTTTGTCATTAAGTACCGACTAGGGAAATAAGGAGGGAAACCGGACACGTTGACAAGAAGATCAGGAGATCTCCCTGGAGAGGGGGATGAAAGACAATTACATCAGAGTCAAGTTGTATTGAAGAAAGAGAATCTTGATGCAAAGCTAAGTTTGTTGGCGGTTCTTTCTCAAATGAGCCCGCTGAAAAGAACGCCTCACTGCATAGACTATTCAATGAAGGATATAGCGCTGACCCGTTTCCACAAAAAATACTGGATATGCGGAATAAATGTGAACGACAATCAAAGGACATATCACTCGCCGAATGCACCGAGGTTGAAGGCCGGTTGCTTTACCGAGGCAGCATATATGTACCCAATTACGACCCTCTCAAGCTCCGAATCCTCCAACTTTACCATGATGCTGCCTCCGCCGGACACCCTGGACGCGAAAAAACATTCGAACTCATCAGTCGTGACTACTACTGGCCCCTTATGCGGAATTATATTGCCCGCTACGTTCGGAACTGCCACACCTGTCAACGAAGTAAACCCAACACCCATGGAAAACTCGGCGTACTTCGACCTTTACCGATTCCCGAACAACCATGGCAGGAGGTATCAATGGACTTCGTCACTGGCCTACCGGAGAGTGAAGGGTACGATGCGATTATGGTAGTTGTTGACCGGTTAACAAAGATGCGACATCTCCTGCCCTGTAATACCACCCTCAACTCCGAAGACGTCGCCCAACTATATCTGCGTAATATATGGAAGCTCCATGGGCTACCCACACATGTCACCTCCGACCGCGGTACTCAATTTACAGCTAAGTTCTGGAGGGCTCTCCGTGCACACCTCGACATCGAAGCCAGAATGTCCACTGCCTTCCACCCGGAAACCGACGGCCAAACCGAAAGGCTAAACGCCGTAATAGAACAATATCTATTTGGGTATGTCTCTTATCAACAGGACGATTGGGTAAAATGGCTCCTTATGGCAGAATTTTCCGCCAATAATCAGGTCTCCGCATCCACCAAAGCTATACCATTCTTCGCGAACTATGGTTTCCACCCTCGGTTTACAGTGATGATCAAATCGCTTGACAAGACTCCACCAAGCCTCAATGCTAAAGACTTCGCCTCGAAAATGAAAGAACTCCACGAACACCTGCGTTCCAATATCCGCACAGTGCAAGCTCAACAAGAGCAGGCCGCTAATACCAAACAAACGCTGGCTCCGTGGTACGATATCAGCGATATGGTGTTTGTTTCAGCAAAAGACATCCGAACCACCTGTAACTCTCAGAAGTTGGATGGGAAGAAACTGGGACCATTTCCCGTCAAAGAAATCATATCGCCATATGCATACCGAATCGACCTACCTAGGAGTATGAAAGTGCACCCCGTCTTTCATGTACCGTTGCTAAACCCCGCTGCAAATGACCCTGTCCCGGGGTAAACTCAACCACCACCCCCGCCTATTATCGTTGAACAGGAAGAGGAGTATGCAGTTGAGGAAATCTTGGACTCAAGGGAAACAAGAAACAATGGCCTGCAATATTTTGTTAAATGGACAGACTATACCGACCCTACCTGAGAACCCGCCGCATACCACGATAATACTGCCGCCATTGATATCTTCCATACACGTTACCCCGACAAACCTAGACCGTTGGAAGGGAAGATTAAAATCAACGCTCGCAGGAGCTCGCGCTTGAAGGGGGGGCTACTTTCATGGATCGACTAGTGAATACACTGGGTTACGAGGAGTTGGATTAGTCAGAAGGGTTCTATTTGATTCTATCGGGTTCTGTGGATCGTAAGCGTGTGAGTCACTTTGGATTTGTCATCGCTGGGATTTTATTTGGGTATATTAAGGAGGTTTCGTTTTCGTTTCTTGTTCTTCTTCTTCTTTTCTTTCTTTTACTACACAACGTCTTCTGTACCTACACTGTCTATTACTATACAATATTATCTTCCTCTTCTTTATTCCGAGAAGACCACCGCTTCACTGCCCCTTGTCCCGTTGACCCTTACCGACGTTATAGTCCCTTAGGACCCCTATTGCGAGTTCCCACACCGACCTCTGCTACCCGCTTCGTACCCTGCGGAATACTCGCTACTCGCCCCCTTGAGATTGAGGCTAGGCAAGACCAAGGAATCATATCTTCGCTCTATGGTACAAGAGATGCAGTATGTGTAGTTTAACTTAAACCACCCGGTAGTTTACTTAAACTACTACTTTACATACATAAATCGAGCTAGACCCTTTTAAGCTGTTCATACATGCAATATTTGATCTCCATTGAAGCATCTCAACTTCACATTAAATCATCACCAAGATTTCGAACACAATAACTAAATTCATCAATAGGTCCATGAATTCAGCTCTCTCATCGATGGGTTACAAAAATCTGGGGAATACTTTTCAAAAATATTTTTTAGTTATGTGCCCTTATTTTATACTAGTCTAATAATACAGTTAGCAACTAAGACATAATAGCTGATGGTGATACTAATAGCGATTATGATGATGATGGTGATGAATGATAATATGTAGTTTTTATCGTGATGGTGTGGTAGGCTCTTGCGTGGTCTATGGGAGTCCGGGCTGCCAAACTGCATGGCCGCATCACCCCAACTTTTGCTACTGTACTCGCATATCAAGTATGTTTTTGCGCAACCAGCAAAACATATAGAATCTCGAGAGCTTTCCCATCTCCCCTGAGATTATGCATCTTTTATCTAGAAACCTGAAAGACTCTACAGGCCACTTTTAGGCCATATCCATAAAGAACGAGGCGAAGGATGTCTTAAAAGTCCTTTTATTTCTTTCTTCTCCACCTTTACCAGTATCTCAATTCGGCCAAGAATTTGAAGCATGAATCTCCATTATCGAAATTATACTATACTTGGTCGTTGTAGTTTTGATATAACTATGGGACTTTTTATGAGTTGTTGAAAACCTCGATTTTTGGTGTGTTTTGCTGGTTGGGCAAATACATAGTTGACAAGCGAGTATGTACCAGTATATATATTTCAATCTGGACCGCGCTTGTCATTTTGTAGTTTAAGTAAACCATACATTTTTTTGGTACCATAGGGTCGAAGTAAAGCTATAAATTCGCTCAACCTCATGAACTAGGCTACGCGGATGTGCGCTGCATTCATTTTTTACATAGAGAAAGCAGGCCACTATCTGCTAAAAACCCATACCACCATAACCGCCCACCGGACTAACCACACGCCCCGACGGCCAGGTCGCATTTATGTAGGTTGCAGTGCAGAACATTTCTTTGAGAGAGATATGGTTAGGTTCGCTATCAACCCTGATATATCGAGGACAGACTAAGCTGGGAGGAGTCTTGTCCCTGTTCACTCGAGACTACCACCATGAGGCCCCATAGGCCACACCACTCAAGGACCAGCTATGTATCTAAACCAGTACATATGGTCGAGAGGGTAGTTTCACTCCTAATTCATATCATGCTGCTCTCCTTTGCCCACCACACCCATGGTTTCCGCGTTAACTAGGTCTGTATCCGAGTGATGACTCATGATCCGTGAAAGCCGAAGGGAAGCGAACATGATACGCGGACCCTATCACCTGCAGACGCGAGCTTTGCATCATGCGCTATAATCTCTATAGATCAAGGCTCTGGGGCCAGCAGTTGTCCCGTGCTTTTAGCGAATATTAGCCTTGTATACAAAGCGCTGGTTCCCGTGGGAAACGGCAGATAAACTCATAACTCTCAATAAGGGTGCCAGGATCGGCCGGGTATGAGTGTGGACTCTCCTGGTGTTCTTTCTGTTTTGTGCTCTTCTTCTCTTAGTACGAAGTGGGAGTTTTCATGAGTGTAGTCCAGAGCTCTGTTCTCACGCCTGCCGGGAACCAATCCTCACAAACCCATAGTTCTCAATCTCCAATATTCAATAGCTCGGACCTGCTGGTCATCTTTCAAGCTCGACAAAAGAAAATTCAGAGTGATATTTGAGGACTGTTCTCTCAGAGGAGGAGAGTTCAAGAGCGACGACAATAGCGAGGGTAGAAGAGTGTAAAGCTTAGTGTTCTCCATGAGACGAGACGTCTTGAAGTCTTGTCTCGAGACTCTTGCCTCGAACAGCTCGAACAGCTCGACACCAAATATTTTTGGTCTCGAGACCGGCTTGAAATCTGCCAAGATATACTAGTGACATAGGTGTTAGGGATAAAATGGTATAGCATATCATAGTAAGTTCTCCCCTGTCGATCTTGCACCATGTGGGCCACTCCCGGGCATACATAAACTTCAACTGACATTTGTTACACGTTCATCGGGTAGAATTTGAGCAACTAAATCAGGAAATAGGTAAGATCTCAATAGAAGACATAAAGACATTACTATACAAAGCTTCTTGCTGCGGTCTTAGCTCACAACTACTCACTCGATTTTCTCAAGCCTGTCTCGGGACGGGCAAGACGAGACGAGACCGGAACCCTCATTTGACAAGACGAGACAAGACTGGGCCTTAGTCTCGTCTCGAACGGTGTCGTGGAGAACACTAGTAAAGCTCCGAAGAGAGCTGATGATAGCTATTGAAAAGATAAGCCCACAGGCGCGGGTCATCTCACTGATCCATGCACCCATCGTCATCATCTCCGTAGGGTTCATGGCGCAGGACGAGCTCTTTTCGATTCGGCCAACTGAAGCGAGGAATGTCGATAAGAGGAAACATCTTCCGGCTAAAGCATGTTGATCCTTTGCTTTTGTTTCCAGGAACACGGATGGATCTGAAACTGCCCATCAGATCTGGTCACATCACCTTCTTTCCCGTTATATGTCTGCTCACGTCTCGTGAGAGTTTTTCCGTGTCGGATTATCTCGAACGTACGACGGGCCGATTTCTCCCATCGCCCTGGATGTACCTTGCGTTGTAGCTTTCGATAAGCCTTGAGCTCATGTTGTAGCAAGCAATGGTGTGAGGATCTGATACCTGAGGCTTTTCTTTACAGTCGGGGATGGGATCCCTGCTGAATAGATATCGGAACAACAGACTGGATGAGGAGTGTTTGATGCACCGTCATATCTGGTGACTCTGTGAATAAGTTTCATATAGAAGATACTGCAGTGAAGAGTCTCAGGAGAGATTCCCGGCATTGCCGAAAGTCTCGAGACCTCTCACATGTGGAGTAGTCATCTTTCGGGCCGTTCTCGGGCAAATGCTCGCGGCCGGCACGGGTTGCAGGGATTGTCTCGGGAAGTTTTATTTCCGGTAGATCTAAAGTACTCTACGTGCCTGCTCTAGATTTCAAAGTTGACCTGGAAATTTCAGAAGTACCTACATGAACTAGGCGCCTTCACCCAGAAGCACAGTTTCCAAGAAGGCAACACATAGCCCTCTCTGTTGAGCCATGGGTCCCGCGTGGATATGGCACCACTTTTCTTCGGATGGTCCCGGTCCTTGCTGATGTTTATGGTGGATTGCAAACTCAATTTGATTGGCTACCAGTTATTTTTGCTTGCATGATTCCAATTTTGGAACATTACGGAACCAGACTCGTGGGTTGAGCTCGTGTTATAGTTGACTGCTAGTCTTTATTCAAGCACTTTGAGACGAAAGATCAGTTGTTTTTCTTTATGGGACGATGATTATCATGCCGTGAGCATCTGCCTTCAGTTCTTGGAGAAATCTTTTCTTCTTTCTTTTTTCTTTACAGGCAACGACGCCGTAGATTGAGTAGGGGCTTGGTTAATCCCTATTGATTTTCCGTTGCTAAAGGTTAAACCGCGCAATTGCAGCGGACAGACGGATGATCGTTAAGGTAGGAATGTGCACGGCTGTTACAAAGAGATTTGTGCTACGCAATGTTTAATGTACTCTATTCAGTGACAGATCGAAATCTCGATCACCCACCAAAAGAGACGCTTCTGTGTGGCAACTTGCAGTGTTCATGTACAAAACGTACGTTGATGTTGATACCCTTCGGAGTTGTGTTGCGTCCCCTACACAGACTCTGGAGGGGCGTCCACTCAACCGCAAGTGGATGAATACCTCGCCAGCTTCAAAAGCTTGATCTGACCCCTGGAACACCCCTGGAGCTTCCCTTCATGTGCCAGAGAAGTGAACTATGCCAAATGCAGAGTAGAGAACAAGTAGAGAAAACAGCTGTTTTTCAATTAGTGAGGATTCCAGGTCGTGCAGTTCTATGTGCAGAAAACGCCCATCTTGGGCCAACCCAGCCTCTCGGGCATCCACGGAGAACAACATTATCGGGTATCCGGGTAGGCCGTTTGACATGCGGCGTTATGTAGTGCAACCGTTACCTGTTGACGTCATTGCGTCATTGCGTTCTGCCGGCGGTGGTGGGATGTTATCGATACCTCCACTCGCAGAGTGGACGAAATGGGTTATGAAACCCGTGTGACTGAAATCTATTTGAACTTTCGTTTTTCCTCCAGTGTTTACTTTCTCAGAATCAGTATCTCATCCATTCAATTGAGACTTCAACTTTGTTCCTTCTCATCAAACTCTTTACCCGATATCATCAAACAAATCATCAGATAAATATGTCTGAACAAATTAGTATTGGACTCTACCTCTTCAAGAGGCTTCACGAACTTGGTGTTCGCGGTGTCCATGGTGTTCCCGTAGGCTATCCTCTGATCATTAATGTGGAATTTCTCTTGACAATTGTGATTCTAATTGGGAATATCTAGGGTGATTTCAATCTTGCTGCGTTAGATCTTCTCCCAGATGCTGGCCTGTACTGGGTTGGAAACTGTAACGAACTCAATGCCGGTAAGCTTTCGTTCATACTCAATTGATAAACAATTATTGGTACTCACACTTTCTCTAGCATATGCCGCCGATGGTTACGCCAGAATTAAGGGTATCTCTGCTTTGGTCACTACATTCGGTGTTGGTACGTAGTTGAAACTCCCACTAATAACCGAAAAGAGGATTGTACTAATTTCTGCAATAGGTGAATTGTCTGCTCTTGCGGGTGTAAGCATATAGCTCAATTTCGTAATCAGCACAGCCACCTCAGTCTAACATTTTCGATCTATAGGTTGCCGGAGCTTACAGTGAACACGTCCCCATCGTGCATCTCGTCGGTGTCCCCCACACTGCTTCCCAGAAGGGAGGTCTTCTTCTTCACCACACCCTCGGGAATGGAGATTTCCGTGTCTTTGAGAAGATGTCCGAGAACATCTCGGTAACACAGACACTGCTCGATGACCACTCCAAGGCCGCCGATGAAATCGACCGTGTATTGAGTGCCTGCTGGGTGAAAGCCCGCCCCGTCTACATCGGTCTCCCCACAGATATGGTCTTCAAGACCGTCGATGCGTCACGTCTTGAGACCCCACTGGACCTTTCAATTCCACCGAACAACGAAGAGACAGAAGATGCGGTAGTTTCCGAGATTTGCGGGCTCATTTACAAGTCAAAGAACACAATCATCTTGGCTGATGCTTGTGCCATTCGTCATCGTGTTCTTGACGAGCTCCATGAGCTTATTGAGAAAACGGAATTGCCGGCCTTCGTGTCACCAATGGGTAAGGGCGCTATCAACGAAGAGAGCAGCTCTTTTGGTGGTGTGTATGTTGGCGATGCTAGTAGGGACGACGTGAGACAGCGAGTGGATGATGCGGAGCTCATCCTTTATGTTGGTGGCTTACAGAGTGATTTCAATTCCGGAGGATTCACTTACCATGTTGCGAAGAAGAACACAGTCGAGTTCCACAGTGATCACATGAAGGTATGTTTTTACTCTTTTTTTTTTCTTTTTCATTGGAACTCGGAAATCTGATCGAGTGATATCGGGTAGATCCGCTACTCCGAGTTCCCAGGAATCCAAATGAAATCGGTCTTCCGAAAACTCCTCGACACACTCGACTACTCCAAGATCCAGAAACACGCCACTGCCGAGATTTCAAATACAATTCCCAGAAGAGAGCGAGAGTCAATTTCCAGCGAGATTAACCACGCCTACTTCTGGCCCAGAGTTGGACAGTGGTTGAACCCGGGAGATGTTGTAATTACTGAAACCGGTACCTCCAACTTTGGTATTCTTGAGACTAGATTTCCAAAGGATGTCACGGCAATTTCACAGGTTCTTTGGGGATCAATTGGATTCTCTGTTGGTGCCCTGCAAGGAGCGGCGTTGGCATGCAAGGAGATGTCCCCGGAAAGGAGAGTGATCTTGTTTGTAGGAGATGGATCTCTACAATTGACGGTACAAGAGATCAGTACCATGATCAGACATGGACTGAAGCCCATCATCTTTGTCCTGAATAACAAAGGGTAAGATGGATTCCCTTCAACCTAATAGGAATAAAAAATCTAACCTAATTAATAGATACACCATTGAACGTATTATTCACGGAATGAAGGCAATCTACAATGATATCCAGCCATGGAACCATCAAGAGATTCTGCACTTGTTCGGTGCCGACCCTGAACATTCAGATTCATACCAAGTCAAGAACAAGACTGAGCTTGAGAACCTATTCAGGAACGAGAAGTTCTGTAGTGCGCCGCATATCCAGGTAAATTAACTCCCTGAATATATAATTTGTATAGATGGAATTCACTAACAACCTTACTTTAGCTCGTCGAGGTTTTCATGCCCTGGCAAGATGCACCAAGAGCGCTGCTTAAGATTGGTCAAGCCACAGCAGCATTGAACGCTAAGGCGTAAACGCCTATAATACCAAGGAGAACCGAATTTGCCCTATTTTCAAGTCCAATTTTACTATTTCATTTTGTCAATTCTCATTTGTTATATCCTTGTCATTTCTTTCTTCTTTGTCCTCACCTCTCATCACTCACGTTTCTGGTATGATCGACGATTGTGGTTTTTATGCTTTTGCACTATAACTCATTGGCATATGTGTTATTTCTCTACTTTCAGTATGTAATAGAGATTTCAGTATGGCTTGTCCCAATACACTTTGACGCTTTTGAAGAATGCCTTTGTCCCTTGAAATTTACTTACCCCGTCGTAAGTTATAAGTTACGCGTATGATAGTGCCAATGTGAGACAAAGACCTCCATAGCCGCCACAGGATGATATTGACAACCGTTGCCATAGCTTCTAATGAACTGAACCCTTCGCCATACCGCAATCCAAATCAAGGCATCTCTCATATGATCATCCTGTCATTAATTTTCCCCCTTTCGGGCCGTCAAGCTCGATTAACATTTTTTACCGACTTCGTGTAACTTCCTACTATTCCCTAGTGTGCAATGATCAAACGACCTACAATCTTCCCCACTCTCCTTCCCCCCCGGCCCCATACTTAACAAATAATTACCCCGAGACTACCGGGACCGGAAAAGACCCTTTTCCCCCGGCTATTCCTTCCATCCCGAAGCTTTAAGACCTCGACCGTTATTTCGGTGATACCATCCAGGGCCTAGGAATACAATATAGCCGAGATTCTTCTTCTTCTGCTTCTTCTTCTTTGCTTGCACCTAAAGTGCCGACCGACCCCGTAATGTAACCACTATCTCGGGACTGTTGCTGGCTTTATACATACATATGTATAGTACAGTCGCACCTCGCTATGCCGGATGCCAAGAACCAGACAATTTCCATACGGGATAGCAAATATTCACGAGAAATCCGGGATAGGAAGTTGGTTTTGCAGTAAGAGAATTAAAATCCCTGGGCATTTCGTACGGGACAGCAAGGGATCCGGGATATTGAGATCCGGCATAGTGAGGTGCGACTGTAATATGATGATGGGGGCCGCCTGGCCATGGGGGTGCTTTACGTGGGGGTGTTTTACGTGCAGAACCGCTGTTATCGCGATTATTAGAGTAGAGGTGCAAATTGATGAACCTAGTCCAGGGAGGTAGGAAAGTACATATAGTTATGTATGGACAGAAAGCTGCATGGATAGGATTTCGGATCCGGGGATGATGGGTACAGTACTGTATCTAGATACATATACGTACTCACGACTTCACTCCTCCTCTTCCTCCTGAAAAAAAGAAGAAAAAATAATAATCACCAGCTACCCCCCGCCGTCATGCATTGTCTGTATTCAGATAGACAGATGCAACTCGCTCTCGGAGCAAATACAGGGATATTGATACATAACGTTTTTGACCTGGTACCGTGTCAGACTGGGAATCAGGTCATTACCATACAAATTTGGTTGTATTTATTGCCGAGCCTTTTCGCCTCCAAAATTCAAGTCAAGATTTTGGTGCTGTTGCCATACGACACGATTCTAGGTCTGACACGGTACTCGGTCAAAAACGTTAGCTGTGGATGGGTGCTCTGCTTTGAGTAGAGAGTTAATCATATCATGGAAGCCTTTATTGATGTGCTCTTGTCATTCTCATCCTTGCATCTGTATACGCGTACGGTAGAGCACCGTCTCGAGAGCCCAATAAAAACACGTGTCGTCTATCGAGCCAATCTTCAAAAACCACGATGCCCAATTCCCTATGTAGATATTTACACCCTTTGTCATCCCCTGTACCTAGTCCCGCACGATCCAAGCCAATCATGTGTGGAATGTATGTTGCTTTGAGCGTGTATTTTATAAGTTGATAGTATAATATCATCCGCAGTACCCTCAACCAATGTGCCCCAGCCTAGATTTAATGGACGCAGCAAAAGAAAACTCCCAGCCCAATTCGATAGAGATACAGAAACCCGAGACATATAGAAAAAGAGAAAGACCCTCAAGTATTGCGCATATAAAACCCATATAGACATCATGCAGCATATCAGGGGAAGACAATAAAAACAACAGAAAACCAACCCTAAAGTATAATAGAACATAGGTTTAAATACGCCCAAGAAAGCGATATTGTCCCGGGGGGAAAAATCCCCCAGATACTGAAAGAAAAAAAAGACCGCGACAAATTCGATGATGCTCAAACCGAGCTGGAACCTCCTATCCCTTCATCATCTGCAAATGAACCATCATCATCATCGTCATCATCTTGTTCTTGTTCTTCATGCAAATCTCCTCCATCCCAGTTATTGTCCTGGACAGACGTCGAGCCGCCAGTGTAATGAATCCCACCTGCTGCACCCGGGCCCGGGGCGTCATCTCCAGAGTCATCCTCATCTTCGGAATCTTCTCCATCCTCTTCATTATCTGTCTCTGCATTACTTCCTAACAATTGAGCCACAAAATGCCCACAACAACCGACTTCATCCAAGGATGTGACAATTTCCCTGGATAATAAGCGTTCCTCTGCAGCGGGAGTCCAAACATCCATCAATTCATCCACATCCAACCTAGCCACCTTCGAAGGGATATCTAGACTCGGGCCCCGTCCAGGCAAACTGCGGGGAACTGATTTGCTAGCTCCAGTTGCTGAGAAGCTCTCGATATGGTTATTAATGGGTATACCGTGTTGCGTTTTGTCCGAATCCAGCTTCTTGAGGTATTTCTCAAGAGCCTTGCGTCTATTACTGTAACCCTTAATCCTATAGAGTTCCCACACCTCACGGATACCGCCAAGGACAAGAACTTTAGCAAAAGCCTCGTTAGTGGGTCGTTGAGAACTCCAACGGCTAATTGTACGGAGACCAAAGGGCATCCTAGATGGGCTGAGTCGACGAATAAGCATATGTAGGAGTAGATGATACATCTGATGAACTTGAAGGAGACGATCATCAGGGTAGATTTTTAAGATTTCCGACTGAAGGGCCATATTCTTCTCATGCGAGAGAGGACTGAGAATTGTTGACGATCTTTCAGCGGCATTCAAATCACCCTCCAATAGATGCTCCAGTTTGCGCTCCCTATAAGTTTCCAAAAAATGGAAAAGCGCAAATATCAGAGGCGAAGTGCCAATCCGTAATTGACTAATGACATAATCGTTGGCTTCTTTCGTCATAGCCCTTTGATGTCTGCCTCCCATCATCTCCTTAACAATCTGGTTTGCTAGCACCAGCGCCAACTGAGTCGATACCCTCTGTTTATATGCCAAGTCGGTAAGATAGCTTATAGTAGGCGTATTATTTGCCGGAGGAGGATAAAGTTCGATGATATGTTTAGGCACCCACATGTTGATGTGATGCCTAACAATGTGGCTTTCGTGCTGGATGGTAAGGTTTCTGAATTTTTTTGATGTTTGGCGAAGGCTGAGCAAATCGAAGAAAAACAGCATGTTCACTATGCTCAACTGTAATTCAACGGGCAGCGAGAAAAATCTATCTCCCAATGTAGGACTATATCAGAAAAATGTCAGCAGACTGTGTGATGAGTAGCGATATTGACGTAAAATCTAACCTTTTGACTACCTCATCCTGAACCCCAGCTAATTTCTCCTGCTGTTTAGAACGCACGAAGCACAACGCTCGGCGAGCACGTCCGTTAAAGAAAGTTTCGAATACCTTCCTCTGAGGAGATTCTTGTCGATTTGATGGCTTTGATTTTCCCGTCGCTATTGTTTTTTGCTGTTGACGCGACTCCATTACATGTTGAAATTTTGATCTGATAGCCTTTTTGGCTCTGTCGATATTAGACTCAGTCGAAATGGTTGTCATGTTTTTTTTGTTTTTTTTTTCGATGGTCAAAGGGTGGTGGTGTAGGGATGATAATAGCGGGCTTTAAGTGAGGGCTGGCGGAACCATGAACTCTTTTGTAGGTACTGGGCGTCCAAATACCAAGAAAGCTGCTGGCCTTGTTCTATAAATGAACCAATCCCACGACCGTTGGGTGAGGTGACCGACGTGGGATAAAGTCCGGACGTGGGGAGCGAAATGAAAGATCCGGACACGAGCCTTAAGGGAAAGAACTAAAAGGGCCGTGAGGCGGCTCGGTGTTGGAATTAAACGAGGATTGGGACCCAAGACAGCTCGCAGATCTCCATACACGATCTACGGGTGACAAGTTTTGGGCGAATTGGATCTCCGAGGTGCGGGGGGTATGGTTAGGCAAGCGGGGGTCAACAAGGTGGGATATTTCGATAGGGCAGTACTCAGGTAGGTGCAAAATCGATTACCTTGTTGGTGATTCTGATGATGGGACTTGTTGACTGCGAGAAGTTGCGTGCAAGCTAGGGCTTTTAAGAGAGGTGCGGGTGAAAGGACCTTTAAGAACCAGGGGGAGGTTCAGGGGAGCCACGCGAGCTATGGAGAAATTGTTTTGTGGGTACAATCGAAGACCCTTCCTTACGGGGCCCTTGCTTTTCTCCAGAGCTCTTATTCTATGCCTCTACATACTTACAAAGTTACATACTAAGTATTTCTTCTCTTCACCAATCAGCCATTCAATTGTTGCAATCGTTGCTTCGTCCAATGTGCATACCCCTGCTAGTATGGTTGCTCACACACCTACTCTACCAGTGTCTATCGCGTCGCTCTGCTCCTTGAGGCCTTCGGCCCCCTCCCTCATTCGGAGTCATTCCGTTCGGGGGGTCCCCCTTTCAACATAATAATACTACATGTATGAAAGGAAGAAAATACATAATGAAAAATAAATATTACAAATAAATTAGTAATATACATTGACGCTCCGCTCCTATTAAACCTGATGCGCTTCGCTTGTCCCCCTTCTTCGCCTGCGGCTCAGAGTATCCCCCCCTTGCCTGACTAAGCTAATATATACTACGATATAGTCTTTTCGCGCTCGGTTGAACCCTGACCCTGACTCTGACCTCTGCATAGCAACCAGCGCATCCCACCAAAAATCAATGATACTGGATTAAAAAGACCATATAATTAAATAATAAATCTAATTAAATAACCACGCTGCAAAATCAATGATACTCAATGATACTGACGGAACTCTGTATCTGCAGTGCACATAATAAAATTTAAAAAAGCCTATATAATTAAAAAATATATCTAATTAAATAATCTAACATGAAGCCGTGGAGGAGGGTGAGAGCGGTTAAGAAAGGGGGGTATAGGGCAGTTATGGAGGAGGAGGTGATGTAACAGCAGCTATATATTTCGGCTAGGTGATAAATTGGAACGAGATGAGGAGGTATTGTGTAGTGGGACTAAGATTTGTAATGGGGATTTCTGTTATGTTCTTTCAGTTTCTGTTACGCGGAGGTATTAGTCATTATCGGACTATGGTTGGATATATATGGAGGCGTTGTCTCGTGCTTTTACCTGTTTTCTCTCTTTCCTTCTTTCTTTACGCAACCTCTTGTAACGGCAGCTATGTATTTCGGTTAGGTGATAAACTGGAAGGAGAAGCGGAAGTATTGTTTAGTGGGGTTAGGATTTATAATTGGGATTTCTGTTATGTTCTTTTAGTTTCTGTTACTTCAGGATATTAGTCATCATTGGACTATGGTTGGATATATAAGGAGGCGTTGTCTTGTTTCTTTATTCGTTTTCTTTCTTTCCTTCTTTCTTTACGCAAACTCTGTATTTATTCCACAAATATTACTTTTGTTCTACGCTACCTCATAGGGCTCATCTTGGATTTCTGATCATGATTAAACCATCCCATAGTCCATAGTCACGAACATCTTCTACTACGTTCTCGCCTCGGTTGTATTCCTTGTCACTATAGTTTCTCGTCCATATACCCACGTTATACCTCTGTATTCTACTCCACGAATATTATTCTTGTTCTACGCTACGTCATAGGGTTCAGTTTGGCTGTCAGATCAAATGGTGCTGCCCCATAGTCCATAGTTATGAATATTTTCTACTACTTTCTTGCCTCGTTTGTATTCCTTGTCATCATAGTTCCTTGCCCATAGACCTATGTTATAGTCCCTACTGTTACTGATGGACCTGAATAATAAGAGAATACAGAAAATCACCGGGTATTCAGAGCTTTACTCTGACCAGGCTTTTAGTCACTGACGAGCTATCGACTCGTCTGTCATTGCTCCTATGAATAGATCTCCTTCCTATCGCACAGTATATAATTACTCTAACTGTTTGGGGAAATGCCAATGCTAAGCGATAATTCTGTAGCTTTTAAACTTTTAATATTGTAAACCGGATTCCGCTCGCTGAGTGACTGATGATGCCACTAAGACGAGGCAGAACCCTACCTATTTATACATATTGGAACCTATACCAAGGCCCGCTTTCTAATACTAATGAGATAACGATAATAGAATAAGATAATCAACCCGAAGATAACCCCAGTAGAAAAGCGCCCCCCGCATAGTTCCGTTCCTCCATTCTAATTCTGACACGTAACCATAAACCCTGCAATTGCCAGTAACCGAGCTGTATCATGCTATTGTCCTAGAGCTACTTCCTTAAGTAGAATGGCCTGCAGCCATAAGCCCCGCTTCTATTCCGTTCCGAGTGAGACACCCAATAGTAAGCGTGCCCTCACAACAGCCTAATACTAGTGTGGTTGCACCCGGTGCCCCCACACCCCTCGGTACCTTTCTATGCTTGTTCCCTCGTTACCCCACCGTACTCGCATCACAACCCATCACTCGTATTATTGTAACGGCAGCTAGGCGGGTTGGCTATGTGAGTTGTCTGGGTATAAGGGAGAAGGATTATGCAGTGTGGTTGGGTTTAGCGAAGCGGGTTTCTATTATGTTCTTTCTGTTTCTGTTACGCGAGGGTATGAGTCAGCATTGAGATAGGGTATGGATATATAAGGGGGGCGTTGTCTTGTGATTTCTTGTTTCTCTTTCTTCTCCTTTTCTCTTTATGCAACCTCTGTACTTTACAGTCACGAATACTATTTGGTTCGCGCTACGTCATAGGGTTTACCCGGTATACTAGACCAGGTACAACCATCCATAGTCCATAGTCCACAGTCCCCGTTCTTGCCTTAGGTGTACCCTTCGGCCCCATAGTCCATAGTCCACGTTCCCGCCTTGGTAGCATACCTCGGCCCCATAGTCCATAGTCCACGAACCTCCCTACGTCCACTTCTTCGCCTCGGTTGTATTCCTTGGCTTTATAGTTCCTACGCCCATAGTCCCCGTTACAATTATCCTTGTTCCTTGACTTAGGAGCAGTGTTCGTGTTTCCTGTAACACTAACAGCTGGTAGCTAACTACACTGCTGGTTGCTGCAAATCACTGTGCAACTGGCTTTCAACAATAAATCTCAACATGTAATCAGGCCTTGTGTATACTCATACACCAGACATTTGAAATGGCTCCATTACACGAAAGTCCCCATAATTGTAAAGAGAAGTAGAAGGGGAGGTGAAAGGGGGCTGAAGGCCAATTGAAAGCCTCTCTCAATTCTTGAATAGTTGATACCTATAATCCAATATGCTACTCGCGATGGCGAGTTGGGCCACTACTAGTGTATACCTTCATCTGTTCCTAAGAATGACTGCCTATTAGTTTGGAAACGGCTTCATTATGAACCAAAATCTGTCGGCGATTATTTAAAGAACTACTCGATTGAAGATTTTTGCGTGATGAGTGGAGACAATTTTACACCAGCGATCGCCGCTTCCAGCTGTGCAGTGAATTTTATTTGATGAGCTATAGATTGCCACAAGTTATGAATACAGTCGAAGAAATATACTATATATTGAATTATTAGTAGTAGCCCAACTTGCGACCCTGTAGTCTCCTACCACTTCCACCTCCATATAGTATTTGACCAACTCCAATAGTTAATTAATTTAGCCCTTAGTAATCTCAACTCATAGCTAGCTCCTATTGTTGGCTATAGCCAGCTCTCAGAATTGTCAGCTCCCACAATTGACAGATCCTATAATTGCCAGCTACAATAATTAACAATGGTCAGCTTCTGTAGTGGACCGTTGCAAGACCCCAAATGTAAAGTTGACTATAGCTAGCCCTGCAAATGTCCAACTCCGGTAGTGATACAATTCTTTCATTTAGTAATGAGGTATCTCGACTCATGCCACTTCCACTTAGCCACCTCTAATGCCATCTTCAATCCCAATCTGTAGATGTATATCTCCCATGGCCAATTTCAATGCCATCTCAAATTAATGCCAGCTACAGTTAATGGCACCTCCAATATTGCCATCCTGTTAATGCCATGATCAGTCTCACTGCTCGCTCCCATTTTTTGCTGGGGTGAGTCAGTTGCTACGCAGTTTGTGCTTACTAAACCACTCCCTGTCGCTGTCGACCAATCAGAGTGCAAGGCCCTACGAAAAATCGTTAATCCAGTACATAATAGACTCGCGCGGCCGAGTTTCGACTTAATCACATGACCTATGAGCAACACAAAAACCTGTTAAATAGCGTCACGTGAGTAAGTCGAAACTCGGCCGCGCGAGTAGATGGCTTTTCTGAACTCCTTACAGTCTGATTGGTCGACAGCGACAGCATTGGTGGCATTGGAGGTGGCTAAGTGGAGGTGGCATGAGTCGAGATATATATATCTTATTATCGAGATACCTCATTACTAAATGAAAGAACTGGATCACTACCGGAGGAGGTGGACATTTGCGGGAGCTGGCTATGGCCAACTGTGGGATCTGGCCATGAGACGGCTAAGCATAAGGGCAAAATTATTTAACTACTGGAGGTGGCCAACTACTACACGGAGATGGAAGAGATTCTAAGGTGGGAGGATGAGAAGTACTACATGTAGGTGGAAGCAAAAGCAAGACTTCGCGGTCGCGAGGTGGTCCTGCTAGTAAACACCCGTACTACAACTTAGGGTTTGCTGTCACCTCCCACTCACCACCGAAGTACAACTTCACCCGGCGCTTTGGATAGTCCTCCACCTTAAAAACGTTTTGTCCAGAGCAAAAGTCCGTGCCAAGAAGGTTGATGTCGCTAAAGTGAGAATCCAGCGGGGATTGGAGAACGAAATGAGGATGTCCACCGATCATGACTCCAGCCGCGTCCCCAATACCGAGCAGTTTACTTGTCGGGACTAGTTAGGATCCTTCTACAAAACAAATGATTCGTCATTTAGGCACTCGCCTGAGCCGAAAGATGCGTCAACGGGGCACCGCTGCCCAAGATGAAAAAAACCCAACGAGCCTCGCCTTTATGACCAAGAAATGGAACTATCACTCTAAACTTCGATCCATGGATATAGCCATTACCCACTTCAACCACCTCTTCAGCCTGAGCGTCTGTCGCCTTCGAAAGGTAAGGGATGCCCAATTCTTCGGCAATTGTCGTTTCCAATGTTTCGTGCTTGATATCCGTGATCAAGACATCATAATCACTTGGATCTCTGCCAATGTCGTGGATGTCGATAAATTCGCCGCGCTCTTTAGCCTCTTGCTGGCGCTTGCGGGTGAAATAGGCCTGCGGATCGACGTTTGAAGAGAAGCGTCGAAAGATTGTATCGTAACTCGGGGGCCCGGAGTACGGGACTTGCATGCTATGGACATGGCGTGATGCGGAGAGACGAAGACCGGGTCTGGGAACAGCCTTGAACGCTTGCCGGCTGAGGAGCCTGAACATGTTTGTGAGCGCTCTCCGGTAGAGTGGTGGTGTTGCTTAAGTACGCTTGTCGACCAAGAAATCCCGTCACCGTAGGTAATATGTGCTGTCTCCGTCTGTCATGTCGTGAGGTTGAAGGACTTCGTCCCTTCTCACCCACAGAGCGGGGGGGGAACCCACCCTTCTTATACTTACTTAGCTTGTTTTACGTGCAGGTGTAGCCTGCTTGGCAATGTTCCGGAACATTTTGGCACGTGCCGTTCCGGGCTGATCCCTGCACCTGGAACGTTTGTGAAATACTTCGACCGTTCCGCGTTCCAGCAGATTAAGACAGAATCTTACCTTTTGCTTCGCAAAGGTCTTAATCTGCGTTTTCCGCCACAAGTGGCTCTCGTCGCTCTAGCTCCCCACAGGCCTACCGGCCTCTGCCGCGCTCGCTCCGCTCACTTGAGGCTACGCCCCTTCCCTACGGCCTCCGGCCTTCGGGGGTCCCCATTCAATCATAATAATGATATGAATAGGGAAAAAAATAATAATCTTCTCGATTTTCTAAAAACTGACTAAACAAACAAAAAAATAAAATATCCCTCCACTAGTTCCTCCACTCGTATTCCCCCCTTGTCGCCTGCTCGCAGAACTACAGCTTAGACTCTTCCACCACCTTCCACTTTCCACCGATGTATAACTTTGCTCGGCGATTTTTGAAATCATTCCACTGGGAAACGTCATGCATGTTGCAAAAGTCCATGCCGATAATGTTAACTTCGGTAAAGTGTGAATTGTCTGGCGACCTGCAAACACCGTGAAGATGTCCAGCAATCTTGACAGGCGTCAGTCCGTAGTCACCATCCTTGATACCAAATAGGGCACTCGTCTGGAGTAGTTAGCGTTCATACGCTCTTTTCACAGGCAGGAGCATTTACCTGAGCTGAAAGGTATGTCAATGGTGAACCAGTATCAACGATGAAGAAGACCCAATGAGCCTTGCCCATTTCACAAGCGACAACTGCAGGAAATATCGTCCGGAGATTCCTACCGTATATAATACAATCACCGGCTTCAATTATCCTATTGGCATCTTCCTTAGTCGCCTCCAAATGGTACGCTATGCCCACTGCCTCTGCAATTTCATGTTGCAGTTTCCCGTGGTCAATATCAGTGATCAAGATATCAAAATCTTTCGGATCCACACCGCCGATATCATGGATATCAACGTATTCGCCACGCTCTTTAGCCTCTTGCTGACGCTTGCGAGCGAAAAAGGCTTGCGGATCGATCTGCGAAGAAGAGAACCGTCGAGCGATCGTATCGTAACTCGGAGGACCGCTGTACGGGAGCTGCACGCTATGGATCCGGCGTGAGGTGCCAGTAGAGAGACGAAAAACGGGTCTAGGAACAGCCTTGAACGCTTGCCGGCTGAGGAGCCTGAACATGTTTGTCGCCACGATTGTTGCTTCGTCTTATCGCCTTGTCCTCCATTCTAGGCTACGCCCCCAGATTACATAAATGAATGATTTGTAAGCAATCTAACTCCTTAAAAAATAAAAACTACCGTACAAACGCCCAGCCTAAGAAAATTTATTACAAAACCGCTTCAAACCCTCTCAATCTAGCCGCAACTTCCATCTCCAACCTTTCCCTCCCGTACGGTTCCTGGCTAATCGCCCCAATCATATCCTCTCCTGTGAAATCATGTTCGAAAATCGGTTCTCCTGCACCTCTCATATTTGCGAGCACCGACTGACAGAAATGCCACCTGAGAAGTTGGTCGGACACACGGTGCGGATTTGCAGGATCACGACAAACAGAATCGAGCGTTCTTCCGTCTATACCAAACACATCAAAACTGAACACAACGATCCTGTAGTTGTCCTTTGATGAGTCAGTGCAAATACCAAGTTGGAGACTGCCAGAACACTCACATTCGGGTTCACCGAAACGAGGTAGTTATCGAAATCACTGTGGATGCTGGCCTGAAGGAGAAAGCCATTCTGATGCGAGTTGATTTTCGTCACCCCAGGAGTGACATCCCTGACCCATTTCCCGTAATTATTCATTCCACCAACTTTCACTCTCAAGAGGAAAGATATGAGCCGCTTCAAAACCACTCCAGATATCGAATAGTGCCCTAATATTCACAACGCCCGACATGACACATCTCCCATCGCGAGAACGAATTCCATTACGAAAAGCATCTTCCCGCCCAGAGACGCTGTGTGTAATGAGGCGATGCACCCATGGCTCATCACTGAGCTCAATACGACCTGTTTTTAAAATTAGCAAGCGATTGAAACTCCCACTCAGCGAGCACCTACTGTCGCAATAAACATCATACTCTCCTGGTTGCAGCGGGTTGTTCGTTGTCGCGACGACATGGCCTGAAGTTGTTTCTTGAACGCGTAGAGGAGCCTCCGTGATGAGTAGGATCTCAATCATGTTGAGAAAATTCGTTTCCGTGACCGACCCATTCTGGATGAGTCCGCCCAATGCGACGCCGGGCTTTGAAGCATCGTAAAAGTGCACATTGCGGCCGAGAGAACGATCGATAGGCATTGAGTGAACTCCGTCTGTGCTGTCTCAGGCTCCGTCTATCTAATGGTTGAATCGACTTTGTCGCTTCTCAACCAAGTGCGGGGGATACTCCCCTACTTAGAGACAAAACGCGACCGTGGCCAAGCCTCACGCTACCCCTTGTTTTACCCCTGCGCCACATCTCTGTGCCTAACTTTCCGCCAAGGCTGAACTGCAGCGTTCCGCTCGGCAACTTCCGACCGGAACGTTCTCAAGAATACTGCGTATTTTCCCAGATTTACTTCCAGCGTTCCACGTTCCAGCAACTAAAGACAGAATCTTACCCTTTCCTTCGGAAGGGTCTTTAGTTGCTGAGGAACGCTTTGCTTCCGGAACACGACCTACGCCTCTGGCTGCGGTGTGGCGCTCGTTCCACTCCCTTATTAATCTCTAACCTTCGCTGCGCTACGATAGAGAGGCTACGCCCCCTCTTTCGCTGCGCTCAAGGGGTCCCTCAAATTCATAGTATAATACATGAATAATAAATTACATAACTCGCCCAGCCGAAGCAGTCACCTAATGTAGAGTACAAGCAAAAAAAAGTAACCCGTAGTAACACCGTCCTGCCGAAACACCGTATCCTATGCTATCCGTCCGTATTAACCATGGAAAAACAGAACAAAAAAAGAAATTCTATACAGCGCCGTCCTACATCATATCAATCAGTCGTCGATCTTTTCAAATGGGTGGACTCCACCACGCTTACCATGCCTTAGCAGCCTCCGAGTCTCTACTGCTTCTTCCAGGTCAAGTAGGAGTCGAGGCCGCCTTTCAAGAGAAAAGTAGCAAAACCACCGATAATGGCGTACAACAAACGGTCAATCTTGCCGTCCATCTTGTCGTATTTCTTATCCATCTTGGTGTCCATCTTATCGAACTTCGCATCCATCCTGTTGCCGAGGTCTTTGATCTCTGCTTTCATCTCTCTCTGGCCCACTCCGAGGTGACCGATCTCCAGTTTCGTAGTGGAGACATCCTAACAAGATATCAGCACGATATTTCGTATCCGAAAACTCCTCCGAGTGTACCTTTTCCAGTTGAGAAAAGCGATCCCAGGTAACGAACGGAGTAGAACCACCGGGCTGAAAGCCAGCTGTAGAGTGGGCTGGACCATCTGCACTGCTGGTGGAGTGACCATCGCTGTGATGACTATCATCGTCGGTGTTGCATCTCTGAGCCGCCCAGTTAGAGCAGTTTGTAAGCTATTAAAACTTCGAGCTCACTGGAGTAGTGCTGATCGCCCTGCGTGGATGATGGACTTGAAGACGGTAGTGGTGGACGCCCATAGGCTTGAACGCTTGCTTGCTGAGGAGCCTGAACATGATGGTCGGCTACTTTTCACTTCTCGTGAATTTAGCAAAAGTCAGTCTTCAATACTCTAGCCAGTTAGAGAGATAATGTGGCATTAAACAGACTCACCTTGTCGTTGGTCTTCGTGTGCTCCGCTCGCTGCTTCTCGAATGGTGGGGTTGAAGAAGCTCAACCAAGTGTGGGGGATACTCCCCTCCAGTCGATGTGGGAACCCCGTCTTCTTATTTGTGTCCCACGCGCCACATCCCTTACCCCTGTTCGCTCCACCTGTTCCGCCAAGCTTCACTTGCAGCGTTCCGCTCGGTAACCTCCGACCGGAACGTTCTCAAGAATACTGCGATTTCCTTCCACTCCATCTCGCACGTGCCATTCCGGACCATATCCCTGCATCGATCGTTCCGCGTTCCAGCAGATTAAAACAGAATCTTACCCCTTGATTCGCAGAGGTCTTAATCTACTCGGAACCCTTGCATTCACTATAGCGGCGCACCGCTATTCTCAACCCCCACAACAGTGTTGGCAGTGACTTTTCAAAGCACCACGACCTGTCTTCCCACTGACCCTATCACCGACCCGGGGTAGTAAACTCTCTATGACCCTATCATATGGGACACTACTAGCGCGCAAGCACTCTTGGTGGGAGTTTGGCATTAATTAGTCATCCCATATAATTTCAGAACTCTTGTCAGCACAAAACCTAACTAGTAAGGAGCCAAGCTTGACCGCCGGTGACCTATGAATGACCCCCTCCGACCTGGGTCCTAAAAAAACCTCTACGACCCCGACTGCCTCACAAGACTCACCTATCGCCTCACTCGGTTCGTTGAGGCTACGCCCCCTCCTTCGCTGCGCTCAGGGGTTCCCTCAAATGCGTAATAGAATGCATCAATAAAAATAAATTCAATTCAATGCATTACAAAGAAATTAGTAATGCTAGCTCGGTCAAGAACCCTAGTTAGTATACAAGTAAAAAAAGTCATTTATCGTTCGATGCGCCCGACCATTCTAAAGGCGGCACACCCTGATGCCAACCCCGGGAAAATGCAAAGTAAAGAAACACCAGTCGTTCTGGTCTCGAACCAGAGCCGAACGAGAAAACGAAAACCTCTAGCCAAACACCAAGGCCCTTAACCTCCACCGACAACAGCGTATCAAATCAAACTACTAAGCAAGCCGATGTACTTGATGAACCGTCGTTTACGATCGCCGACGTTGCCATCAACAGGCAAACCCAGCTGGCCGAGGAGGGCGTTGAGCTCGGGACCTATCACCGTATTCAGATTAAATGATTTTCCACCGAGATAGGGTGCTTACCAGTAAGTGCTCCGATATCAGCACCTGTTTCAGGGAATTCTTGAACGGGTTCATTGTTCAAGCCATATAAAACTTCAAGACGGGTGTCGGAACGATTGACGGAAGAATTGAGCAGCCTTGCAAAATTGTTGCGTTCCCTGGATCCCTTTAATATCGGTCACTGGATCCTTAAAAACTGAGAAGTAGACTTACGAGCGGGAGATCTCTTGACGGATTTGCTCCAGTTGCTGGCCTTGCTGCACCAGTTGCTGGCCTTGCTGCTGCATCGTTTGTTGCATTTCCTGGAGGGTTCGCTGTATCTGTAACAGTTGTCCCCCGAGGTTCACAGCAGGGAGGTTTGGCATCAATGCGAGTTGTTGGGCCGAAGCAGCTGCTGCATCCGAAAGAATCTGGAAGTTTGGTTGAGCCATTCCCCGGAAGTATGCTGAATCCGAAGTTGAATATGCGTCTCTTCGTGACTGACTCCGCTTGTTGATAAAGGTCGAGCACTCTCCGGCAGTCGTGGTGTTAAGTACGCTTGTCGACCAAGGAATCCCGTCACCGTAGATAATGTTTTCTTGGATGATCTGTCCTGCTAGGAGTATGCTGTTCTGTCTCCATCTATCGAGTCGTGAGGTTGAAGGACTTCGTCCCTTCCCACTTGCGCTGCTCTAATGTGCTTTGTAGCCTGCTTGGCAATGTTCCGGAACATTTTAGCACGTGCCGTTCCAGAGCATCCCTGCTTCCGGAATGTTCTGAATTCTGCGCCGCGAAACCTGTGAAATACCGCGAAAACTCGCCAACTTGATTATCCGTGCAGGGTTTGAATCTCCGGACAGGAGCTTGGCTCGCTGATCGTGCCCTTGATAGGAAAGAGCGAGTGAGGTCCCATGAGCGGCAGGTGGCGGTGGGTGTTCGTAGAGAACAGGTTCTATTCGTCATGAGCTACAAATTCCACAGTCTCGTTGTTATCCTCTTCTCTATCTACATCGTGTAAAGGTAAATCATTTATACAATCATGTCTCCAATCTCCAATCTGAATCTGTTCAAACCCTTTGATATCCAACTCATAGTCTTCACTCCCGTTGATATTTAGTGAAAGGCTCACCTTCCTAAAAACCCGTTTTACTAGATCATTTTTTTCAATACAGAACTCGTACCATGCATCTCCCACAGCCCAGGTTGTCACTATTCGCCTATCTCTAACTGTCCATTTTTCGAATTCTTCTGCATCCATACAATCAAAAATAGCTTGATCCATGTTTTCCCGTACCATATCCTTGAGTGGTTTATTGACTGAAATATCTAACGGCTGTACCAGACTGGTACAGCCCGCTGGTATCATGCTAGGAATTATTTGATTTTGGTGGAGAAATTCGAGAACAGCTGGTGTTTTATGAGAGCCGCACATATCGATCGCAAAGAGTGTAGGCCATCCTTCAAGAGCTGATAGAAGGTGCACTTCGATGTATTTGAGAAACAGAGCTTCGTTCATATATGCCTCCTCATTGAATTCAACTAAAATACCAGGGTGATAGCTGCTCACTTCTTTGGCATATGCTTGACCTTTGCCCCGGAAGATAATCATAGGCGGTACCTGATTTAACCCATCTGCAAAGATGCATAAAACTAAACTGGCCTGCCGTTTGTCCCATCCATTCCTGGTTTCTTTTACACATATCGTCGTTGACCCAACTTTATCGTATATACGTCTACTAAGATATTAAATGGTAAAGGAGTCTCATCGAGGTTACAGATATTACTGAGAAGAAACGGTCCGATCGATCGAGCTACAGTGGTATTCATCCAAGTACCAACTGGGTATTGTGAATTTCGTCGATTAAACCGAAGCCAGTTGACTACTAGCGTTCTGTAATCCTCCGGAATCTTTTGTGCCTTTTTTGTAATACACCGAAAACTGATCCTATAACGGCCTACAAATGCTTGAAACCAACTATTGGAAAAGCGGAAAATAAAGGGCGAGGAGTTGGGAAACAGCTCTCGGAATATATGAGTGGCATGAACTCTAAACCAGCCTCTACGGATAGGCTGACTCTTTTCTCTTCTGCCAAGAAAAAGGTTATATAAACGGCTTTCAAGTTCTGGCCATCTATATATTGAGGGAGCGGTACAGATAGTGTGAATATTGGATGACCTGCCATACTTTCCTATTTTTTCCCTATTGCGAACCCAGTAACTGATTGTTGTTTGAGGAATACCAAAGACTTCTGATGCTTCCTCTTGCGTAGGGTAGCGGAATGCTCTTAGTTTTATCTCACTAGGGATCTTATGGGTAAAAAGAAACACAAGAACCCGGAGTTTCTGTCGATGGCTATAGGATGGCCTGATGCGTCGAACATCTTGAGGATTAAGTTTCCGTTCCTTAACTGACTTTGGTTTTGGCCCTTTCCGTACCTTCGTGCTGGACTGACTGCCCTAGCTTGACCGACTGCCCTGGCTTGACTGGCTGCCCTAGCTCGACCGACTGCTCTGGTTCCCATTCTGTTCACTCTCCGTGAGGTCGCACAGTACTTCAGTAATCATAATGGATCGCAAAGTTGGTAGCACTAACACGCGCGCAAGGAACACTCGATGAACACCTGCTCAGCACCGCTCAGCAAATACTCGAAACCTTACGAACACCCACCGCTACCTGCCGCTCATGAGGCATCACTCGCTCTTTCCTGTCAAGGGCACGATTAGCGAGCCAAGCTCCTGTCCGGAGATTCAAACCCTGCACGGAGATAATCAAGTTGGCGAGTTTTCGCGGTACTTCGCGGGTAGGGGTAAGTGAGAAGATACCTGGCGGTGGAGGCGGTGCAAATGGCTGTGAGAACAGCGCCAAGACTTGTGCCTAATTTTTCGAATAATGTATTCAATACATTGTAGGCCCTCCTTTAGCATCAATCACGGCCTGTAACCTCTCTAGTATACTTTTGACTAATCTATCTAAAGTGTCCCCCGTAATACTATCCCAAACAACTTTAAGAGCATTTCTCATCAACTCTAAATCCTAAATCCTACCCCATGTCTCTCCTAGTTCAGATTCCATAATACTCCAAACCATCTCAATCAGATTTAAATCTAGCGATTGAGGTGGCCAATCTATCTTATCTACTTCATTCCTCTCCCGATAAGAATTAGAAAATCCTTTGTGATCAGGCACATTATCTTCTACTACACGTCCCCAACCATAAGTCTCACAACATTGATGCCAAAAAGGTATAAGATGAGGTTCTAAAACATAGTTTATGTACCTAGTAGAGTCCAGTGAGACGTTTGAAGGTACAAAAACTAGTTCTGACCTTGTTAACCTACAAAACGCACCCCAAACCATAATTCCTTTACGGCCTGATTTTTCTCTAGTATCCAAACAATCTGGATGACCTACTTTTTTTGAATTCCTAATAACGAGAAACCTATGGTGGAATCCGACTGTTGAAAACCATGATTCATCACACCAAAGCACCCAAACCCAGTCGTCATAGGTGCAATCTAGATGTTGTTGGCACCATTCTACATGGCGTATTGCATTGTATGGGCGTATGCCAAACTTCTGTCTAGGGATGTGTTTGTGATAGCCTATCGATGACAATGTACTCCGAATGAGGTCTCCAGAGCAACTGTAGCCCATATAGTCATGGATTTGATCCCATGAGAGACGTCGCGTAACCCGATTTTGCGTAACTAACTGAAGAAGCCGCTCTTTTTCTTGAAGGTCAAATAGTGGCAGGCGACCGGTACGCTTTCTGTCTGAAAGTGTACCATTAATCTTTACTCGGCGATAGATCCCTTGACACAATCTACAGTCCAATCCTAACTTATTTTGGTTTAGATTCAAATCCTATACCGGGAATAGAATAGTACTAGTACTTACCTCCCTATCAATAGCGGTCCATGACATCTGTGGTTTAGAATGGTCCCGTAGCGTAACTACCTGTAACCGCTGGTCCCTTGTAGTTTCCTTCCGCTTGCGTTCTGGCTCATCTTCCCGGGTAACCTTTTTCTTCATGGTTGACTGACCCTTACTGTGGATAACTTGAACTGTGATAGCCTGATCCACCCCGAAGAAAACTCTGATGCCAACCGAGTCTCGGCGGCCTTGGCAAGCCTCTTGCACCGCCTCCACAGCCAGGTGTCTTCTCACTTACCCCTACCCGCGAAGTACTTCGACCGTTCCGCGTTCCAGCAGATTACCTCTTGCTTCGCAGAGGTCTTAATCTGCTGGGAACGCTTGCGTTCTCCGCCACAAGTGCCTCACTGCCACGGCTCAGATAGGTTTGCTTTTTGAGGGGTATAAATGGGTATAATACTGTTCCACTCCGTTCACTCTTGGCGCTTTTTACATACAAAAACAGCAAATTTCAATCCCTTATAACTTCATAACCATGATAGATATCAAAAATCTGTCAAGACAATCTCTTCACCACTATTTCTAGCCTTTTTCTTGACAGATTTTTGATATCTATCATGATGGTGAAGTTATAAGGGATTGAAATTTTGTTACCTTTAAGATCGGGGGCACCAAACTTCGACCGTTCCGCGTTCCAGCAGATTAAGACAGAATCTTACCTCTTGCTTCGCAGAGGTCCCTAGCTTACAAATAAAAGTCTTTCGCCGTTTTGCCCAAACCTTCTAAAAGCTCCCTAAACACCAGCTAGAAAAAAATGACATTCACTTCTTGTTTTTCACATCATTTGAACCCTCCTTGCTTTCCTGCGAACAGTGTATCAGCGACATGATATCGAGCGGTTTCTGAGTGGATCTTACCGTGGCGGGCTCGGGACTAACGGTGGCAGCAACCTGCGAGACATATACATCTACAACTCTCTTCAATGTATACCCCACAAACTAGAAGGCATTGTATCAGTAACAGTGAAAATTTGAGAGAACTTACACCAAGAAAAGCAACGATTGCTGAACCTATAAGTCCTATTTGCCACTGCATAAAAGCTAACTTGCCATCCACTCGAGCGAAACTACATAGTCTCCACTCGAGCGAAACCAGTCTCCATCCTGGTGTTAAGATCGCCGATTGACTTAGGACGTCGCCTTGGAAAATTCTGAGTTCCTATGACTAGAGTAAGCAGTTTGCAAACCAGACTATATATATGCGAAAGATACTTTTTCGAGATCTCCTACACGATCATCGAGTTTAAAAACGTCATTCCACTATCACGATAGTTAGTTGAGTCAGTAGCAATTAAAGAATGGCGTACCAAGCGAGTCGCCAATGCTGGGTCCTCTTGTCCGGCTGCGTCCTCCTGTCCTGGCTCGGAGTCCAAGCTATCCCTTGGACGGATGAAAGTTGTCAAATTCGCGACCTGGACCGTGCACCAATTAGTAAGGGAATTATCTTGCTTTTTACGGTTGGCAATAACAACAGAGCCAATCAAGAATTTCGAACAATTGCCATATTAAGCTAGTGATAGCTGAAAGAGTGTGGTCGCGAATTTGACAACTTTCATCCGTCCAAGGGATACAACCTACGTTGCGTCGGCAGGTATCCGATTACTCGCATACATGTAGGTACGTGCAATAGTCTGTGCGCGTTGCTTGAGCAGACGGAGCATGCTGATCCGAGTCTTCTAATCTACTAGCGAGAATATAAAGTCTGTATTCAGGACTTGTGGCTCACCACACAAAATTCACTGACTAGCTGGAAGCGGTGGTCGGCGGTGCAAAATTGTCTCCACTCGTCACGCAAAAATCTTCAATCGAGTAGTGCTTTAAACAATTGTCGTTAGATTTTGGTTGATCACGACGCCTTTTCGACGCTAATAGGTTGTGATTCGCGGGAACAGGCGAAGGGATATCATCAGTTGTCTCTTGTTCATATCGATTCGTATTCGTGACTGATCTGGATGAGACTCTAGGGAACTACAGAAAACAGCCTGCAACGTCCATTCCCTACAATCAAAGATTCAAAATTCACAAGGCCCTTCACGAGACAAAATGTTGCGTTTTGTCATCAAACCAGGGGTACTTCGCTCTCAGTCGAGAATTTACCAAGGGGGTGGGCTGGGCTTTCAGCGTTTCTTCACCTCCAGTGATGAATGCAACGATCACGACCACAACCACGATGCCCAAGAAGCTCCCAAGATACCTGAACAAATTGTTCAAATTGATAAGGTTTGACCGTTTTGAGCCAGGTGCTTTCAGTACAGATTTCAACTAACCTCAAACCAGAGAGTTTTCAAACTCGAGGCACTTCATCAGCATGTTGTAGCAAGTAAGCTCAACGAACTTGCAACAAGCATCAAGACTTCGGAGAATAAAATCGATACTTCCATCAAGGACATGGGGACAAAAATCGAAACTTCCATCAAGGAATTGGGTAGCGCCATAGCAGAGAACAGAAAGAAATCGATGACTTGGATTAGGTGGCTTGTGGGCTTCTTCGGCGGAACAGTACGTTGTAAAGAACATTCTTTTGAGGTTTCTTTCCGCTAATATATTTACAGGTTGTTCTCAAAGTTCTTTATTATGATGTCAAGGTTCAAAGCGACCTGCAATTGTCCCTCAACAAAACTCTCATCGAATCTGGACAGCAGATAAAGAGCGATATCCTTAATTCAGTGGAGGAAAGGCTCGAAACTAAGCCAGCTCATAACAATATCAGTGCTGTGGGCATCGAGAACCTGCCCAGCAGTGAAGTTTGATGATGTTTGGTGCTTTTTTTCGGCGTTTGGGTTTTTTTCCGGCGAGGATACGAAAATAGTGGCGACAGAGAGAGCACTCGGGATACGGAGGAGGATAGAAAAGGCGTGCCTAGAATTAGTACCTAGGATTAATGGAATTTATTTTTTTATATAATATTTTGTTATAGTTCTGGGGGGTCTGGGAGGTCTGGGGGGGGCATATGGTGCCGGTCGCGATAAACCTACCATTGCGGACATTAGCCCAGTACCAAAAAATTGTTTTTTTGGTCATATAAAACGTTTTTCTCAAAACAGTCTTTTTAGGAGCTTTTCTAGACACCCAGTCCCCTAACCCTCAGTATTTCACCCTAACCCTGTGATATTGACCCGATTTAGGGCACTTTTCATAGCGGACATTGAAGACCTCTTACACTAAAACTACCTAGCTAGAAAACCTATCAACCAACATACAAATTAATAATACAGAAATTTAAAACAGCCACTCTGTAGATAATCACCAGAGCTACCTAACATACTTTACGGCGAAACCGCCCATGACAGGGATTCCGCTCGGCACCGCTCGGCGCCGAGCCAGAGGTAGCAAACGAGCTCCCATGATTGTAGAAAGAGTACGAGGCATCGCAGAACCAAACAACAACGCACAATGGGTCGACTATCACAGAGAGAGAAGGATGAGCGGGAGGAGAGGATGATTTTGGCAATTCATCACTTCAGAAAGAGTACAGAACCATCGATAAGGGCAACAGCGGAGAAGTACTCAATTGCCTACTCAACTCTACGGGATAGACTTGGAGGGGCCCAAAGTAGAAAGGAAATTCACCGCCATCAACAGCTTTTAACTGAGCAAGGGGAGAAATCAATGGTCCGATGGATATTGAAGATGGATGAGTGGTGCTTCCCACCTCGCATGGCAATAGTAAAGGAGATGGCGGCTGTCTTGGTCAAAAACCGCACTAGTAATCGGAATCTAGGAAAGCATACGGTGTTGCAGTACATATTAGATTCTTAGCTGCATCAATTTCCCTTTCACTTTGAAAATGGGTTACAGCGTTGCACTGAAAGACTCTATTAAAGAAAGGCTCCGTTTGGAAGCACAATCCCGCCAATTGTAATTTAGGTAATAGAAATTGTAATTTAGTCAAATTGTATTTTAGTCATCCAAACGCCTCTGAATATTTTAACAATTTTGCGTAGCAATAGCTCACCACATCAAAAAATTGGTGGGGTATGTCCGTTGCAACGAGGATGTTGAGTGCAATAGAGAAAAAGTAGAATTGCGAGGATCATGATTTCAGAGCTCTCGATTGAGGTTGAAATGGTGTATCCAAACGGTCACCGCCCCCTCCAAATCACAACCTGCTCAGGATCATGATTTGGAGCGTCATGATTTGCGTGGCTTCCAAACGGAGCCTTACCTCTTGCTTCGCAGAGGTCTTTAATGGCGCGTCCGCCGTGGCACAGCCACTCTCACGGGTTCACGCTCGTCCCTCGCCTACCGCGTCGCTCCGCTCCCTCACTCCGTTCGTGGGGTCCCCCTTGATTCATAATAAAGGAGGACGTAAATCAATTAATAATTAATTACATTTCCGGACTGCCAAAGAAAATACCATTCCTCCACTCATTTCCTCCACTCCTTGCTTGCTCACGCCTACCACAAAACCCGTACTACAGCTTAGACTCTTCCACCACCTTCCACTTTTTACCGAAGTACATTTTCATCCGTCTCCTCTGAAAGTCGAACCACAAGTTGGTGTTGTGTGCACTACAAAAGTCGGTACCCAGAAGGTTGATATCGGTAAAGTGAGAGTTCCGTGGCGACATATAAACTTCCTTAGGATGCCCACCGATCGTGACAGGAGTTGCTCGGTCTTCCACGACACCAAGAATTTTACTCGCCTGAACAGGTTAACGGTCGAGCGTTTGTTCTACAAGTCGGATCACTCACCTCAGCTGAAAGATAGGTCAATGGGGCACCACTGTCCATTATGAAGAATACCCAACGAGACTCATCTCCATGAGAGACAACAAATGGAATGATCGCACTAAACTTCCGGCCATAGATATAACCATTACCCACCTGAACCACCTCTTTGGCATCAGCCTCCGTAGCCTTCGAGAGGTATGGTATACCCAGTTCCTCCGCAACTGTGGTTTCCAGTGTTTCGTGCTTCACATCTGTGATCAACACATCATAATCATTTGGATCTATGCCGATGTCGTGGATGTCGATAAATTCGCCGCGCTCTTGAGCCTCTTGCTGACGCTTGCGAGTGAAAAAGACCTGTGGATCGACCTGCGAAGAAGAGAACCGTCGAGCGATCGTATCGTAACTCGGAAGCCCGTCGTACGGGGCTTGCATGCTATGGACATAGCGTGATGTGGTGCCGTTGGAGAGACAAAGACCGGGTCTGGGTCTGGGTCTGGGAACAGCCTTGAACGCTTGCCGGCTGAGGAGCCTGAACATGTTTGTCGCCACGATTGTTGCTTGCTTGCTCCATGAAACTGTCGAGCACTCTCCGGTAGAGTCGTGGTGTTGCTTGTTGCTTGTTGCTAGATGCTCTGCTCGCCCTTGATACATTTCACCTGCGCTGCGCTCCACCTCATTTTACTACTGCGTGGCGGTGCTGTTCCACCAAGGCCAGCCTGCAGCGTTCCGGGCTAATCCTTGCACCCAAGAGTACCTGGGCGACCGGAATGATCTATGGAAAAACAGGGGGGGTGAAATTGTATGGCGAAATATCTGTGCACCATATAACTGTTTTTTCCATAGATCATTCCTATCGCTGTAGAGTACTGCGACATACTGTGCGCGTTCCGCAGAGGTCTTAATCTACGGAACGCTTGCGTTTTCCGCCACAAGTGGCTCTCACCCCTCACGGGGTTCACGATGAATGTCAATTTGATTGCAGCCTTCTTATTCATCTCGCCCCTCGTTCCTCTTAACGCTCCTCCTCCACCACAGGTATATTGATATCTCTATGATAAAACGACTCCTATGTAGAGTGAAAACATGGCTACAAATCTTACGTCCGCAGCGGGGTTATCAATACTAGCACAACGTCTTAATCCCACAGCGATAGGAGGTTAATTTGTATGGTGTGGCGTCGTGCACAGATATTCCGCCATACAATTTCGACCTCCCTGTGTTTCCATAGATCATTCCGGTCGCTGTACCTACATGCACCCTCGCGTGCTCCTACATACGTTTATCGAAACTGATCGACTCATCATCTCGCCGACAGGGCAGGGTTTCCCTAGGCCTACAGAAGTGCCAATACCTTATGCACACTCGATCATGAGAGCAACCACCCAATCAAATCCAAAGCCGCGTTTTGAGTGCAACACATACATGTAGAGTACTCTATGTACCAGAGTATCTTACATGCTGCGGATACATACTCCCAAAGCCAGCGACTCGGTAACAGCAGATAGTTTGAGTCTGTGTTATCACGATCTATGTACACACTCTACGAAGTCGCTTCTTACAGATAGGAAATGAAATCTACAGATTACACAAAGGTCTCACGAAAAGGTCAAGGCCCAACCTCTTGTATGTGTGCCCCAGTAGGAGCTTGTTCGAGAATCCATGGCCTTTCGGTTGACGACATATTTGCAATATGTGACTATGCGAAACAACAAAAATTTCCGATCCCTCTTGCGGACGCCAGCAAAAAATTCGCCACTCATTTTTCGCCTGGTTGATTCAATACGGGGGCCTCTCTATATACCTACCCAATAGACCGGCCAAACCTCGGAATATCTTGATGTCTACCAAGACAATCCATCTAGGAGCGTGAGGTAACTGGCGCCCCTATGCGCGATCTTCATCGCTATGCAAGGAGCGGCTGGAAGAATTTGGGCTGTAACATAAGATGCGACATGTCAAGGAGATCAAGTTCGTATACGTACCGGTACTTATTAGGTGATCATTCCTGTCACCCTATCTGGTGCCTCTATGGGTAGATTGTTGAGTGCATTTCAATCGATGGCACCTGACGTTAAAAGCAGTCATCGAAACGATTCGAAAGGCGTCTGATTTGTTTGGATAGCGTTGTGATCCTGCCGTGTTTGAAACATTTCGGTCCGTATCAGAATTCACAGCTTCGCAGATATCACAGGACCGCTTGCACCATTTGTTACAAAGCAGTCTTACTTGGGCCGTGCGTCTTCACATAAAGACCTTTAGGGGGCCCGCAGTTTCACTGTGAAGAACGAATCCCGGTCGTCTGGCATTTCGGATCGAGCCCCGCTTGTTATAGCGCAACCTTTTCCTGGGTGGATCCCGGGGCGTATCACAGACTATCACTCGAAGCGAGGTTCGGGTTTGCGGCGTTGATGACAAATTTTTCGAGCGGGATTTTGTGACGGAAATATCCCCCCCGCTGCAGTGTCAAGGTATCTGAGGGGTCAACAAAGTTGTCGCAAGTGACGCTGGAGAGCTAGCCATACTAGGTTTAGTATGGAAGCCGAGCGATCCCTTCGTCTGTTCCCGCGAATCACGGCCTATTAGCGTGGAAACAGCGTCGTGATGAACCAAAATCTAACGACGATAGTTTAAAGCACTACTCGATTGTGACGAGTGGAGACAATTTTGCACCGCCGACCACCGCTTCCAGCTAGGCAGTGAATTTTGTGTGGTGAGCCACAAGTCCTGAATACAGACGAAAGGATGGTTTTTCATAGGGCCTTGCAATCTGATTGGTCGACAGCGACAGGGGGCGGTTTAGTAAGCACAAACTGCGTAGCAACCGGCTCACCCCAGAAAAAATTGGGAGCGGGCTGTGACTGGCCGTGTCATTAACAAGATGGCAATATTGGAGGTGCCATTAACTGGGGCTGGCATTTAACTGGAGCTGGCATTAATTGGAGGTGGCATTGGAATTGGCCATGGGAGATACGCATCTACAGATTGGCATTGGAGGTGGCATTGGAGGTGGCTAAGTGGAGGTTGCATGAGTCGAGATACCTCATTACTACATAAATGAAAGAACTGGATCACTACCGGAGGAGGTGGACATTTGCGGGAGCTGGCTATGGTCAACTGTGGGATCTGGCCATGGTCCACTACGGAAGCTGGCCATCGTCAATTATGGGAGCTGGCAATTATGGGAGCTGGCAATTATGGGAGCTGGCTATGAGTTGAGATGGCTAAGGGCGAAATTAATTAACTACTGGAGGTGGTCAACTACTACAAGGAGGTGGAAGTGGGAGATGACTACAGTCCGGAGTTCTCGGATTCCCCAATGGGAAGAATACAACAAAAATTGCGTCTCGTCGCTATCAGGGCCTATTTACCCCTCAAGGAATAGAGGGGTGGGTTAGCCGAAGGTGCAATACAATTATAATATTGAATGCTGTACGACAGGAATGCCCTTCGTCGACTTCTTGCAGTAGGGTTAAGCTCGATTGCGATCTCGTAAACGCAGTCACCCGCTCGTTTTTTTTTAGTTTACTTATGCTCCGTACCATAGACACTAGGTACACTCCAGTAGTCGGTCTTTAAATTAATTTTGTTAGACGATGATATTTGCGCGCAGGACGGAAATTACCAAGCTTTCTTACCACGGTACGATTAATAGGGATGTACCCGGGGGTCACCCAAAAGTGATGCAACGACCACAACACCACGATACCACAATACCTATTCCTTTTCCAGAACAATAATCCTAGATTGGCCTGCAAAAAACGGTAATAAAACAGCTGTAAGTATCCGTAACCTTCCTTGCCAAAATTGGGATCAGCGGGCCGGGTCTAGGATAGTATTGATATATTCAGCATCTTCTTTTCGGTAAAATTCTGAAGGGGAAAAAAAAAACTACATATATCTTATGTTGAGTCGGAGCAGGGAGAACAAAATTACATATTCCTCAGCGGAGAATCCCTCCTGATGATTTATAGGGCTTAGACTTTTACTTCTACCTCCTCATAAATAGTCGTGGGTTCGTGAAGTCATGAACTTTCGAATTGAGCAATATTTTAAGGAGTAGTCCGAGGAATAAATAGTTCGTCAAGCCTACGTACGAACGTACAAAAGGCCAGCCGTAGACTACTTGATCAGTGAACAAATCCCTAATACGGGAGCCCACCGAAATTACTGAAAAAACCTTCCTCATGTTATCTACAAATTTACGTTCGGCGGCGCTCCTATGTCTTCCACTTGTGGCCCTAGCAGCTCCGTTCCCGAGCTCCCAGCAAATACCGCTGGATGCTCAAAGTAAACTCGAGAAAGCTGGCCCACTCAACTATCAGTCTACCGGCCGTTTTCCAATCCGCATTCCAGGAATCTCCAAGTCTCTCTTCGATGAGTTCAATGATCTTGCCAAGATTGCTGATATAGCCAACTGTGTCGAGTCCCTCGAGGAGATCGAGTATCCTTTCAAGTGTAACTCATTCTGCAAGGAGTTCCCGGGGCTCGAGTTGGTGATGCAGTGGAACACCAACGACAACGGCCTCGCCGAGCTTGGTGAGGATACACACGGGTACATTGCGGTTGATCACGGTGGAAAGAAGATCTTTGTTACAATGGCGGGTAGCCGCAACATCAGCTTGACCACGGAGACCGTGGATTACGACCACGCCTGTCCTGGGTGCAAGGTCCATGAAGGCTTCCATAAGGAATGGGAGGCCCTGGAGGGGCCCATCAAGCAGGTGGTGAAACGGTATTTTGAAGGTATGAATCAGATGAACATCGATATCGATCCCGCGTAGAAGAACCGTGGAAAAGAAGAAGAAGACAATACTCATGTACCTGTCCGTGTCTGCTGCATATAGCTAGAGATCCTTTCCATACGGTTGTTATTGTTGGAAGCCAGGGGGGAGGTGCTGTAGCGACTCTGGCTGCTGTAGACTTCGTTGTTATGGGATGGAACACCAAACTTACTACCTTTGGGCAGCCAATGGTTGGGAATGATCGATATGCGCAATTTCTTGCCGGGGTAACTTGTCTCCCTCCTCGTCTCCATTCTGAATATCTATGCAGTGTATGCTTTCAAATGAGCTTCAACTACATCAAGGAAGCATGGAGTATATATTCTGACATCAAGTTCACTTTTAGAAATTCACCCCTTCGACTTATCGCCGGGTGACCCATATTTCAGACCCAACTCCCAACTACCCTCTTACTGAGGATAAGGCTGTCTTCTCTCATTACGAGGTATGCCATATACAAGATCAAGGGAACTAGCATATCTGCCTCCATCCTAAGACCTCAGTTATTAATCTGATATTAGCCCTATTATGATACTAACACATCACACAACATAGCCATACTTCTTCATCTCAAAGCCTTTTGCTCCCTATGTCCCCTCCGAAATCCTTCCGTGCATCGACATCTCTGATCCCCAATGTGCCGTTCCCCTCCCTCTCGGCCCCACCACCGCCCTGGTCCCCGCGGACTACTTCCACCACTCGGACAACTGCGTAGCCGGCGAACTAACCTCCTTATTTTCTCTCCTCACAATCGATATCTTCGACTTTAGGTTCATCAGCGACCTACCATTCAAGACCAAAAGATCCATCCTTGATACCGGTATCAACCCTAACCAGGACATCTTCGTTGATCTACCAGGACTTGTGGCCGACCGTGACATCTTCGTTGATCTACCAGGAGTTGGGGCCGAACAGGACATCTTCGTTGAGCTACCAGGATTTGGGGCCGGCCGCCGCCTCAGCAAGCGCAAGATTACCGGCACTGGTGACGATAAAGCGAGCCCGGATGCCGACACCGAGACCGTTGTCGCCGACTCAAAGTTCAAAAAGACCTTTGCAATGGTCGAGAAGCCAGAGCCCGTTCCCGAGAGCGAGAGGGTGCCCGTTTATGTCCCCGAGTACGAAGACCAGGAGATTTACTCTGCCATGACAGGTTTCTCAAAGGCCCAGTCAATGTGGATCAAGCCCCAACCTGCCCCAGAGCCCGTAGCAGCGGAGAAAAATAAGCGCAGTGAGCTCTCTGATGACAATGCGGATTTTGAGTCCCCCGCGCTCAAGAACGTTATTGAGATGTTGGATAAGCCTGCGCCGGTCCCAACTGAGTATGAGGATAAGGAGATCTACGATACTATGGCAGGCTTTGATAAGGCCCAGAAAATGTGGATTAAGAAGCCTCAAGGTGTTGCGAGTAAGCAGAAGATCTCTGATGAGTTCTTTGAGGACCAGATGCTCCCTGAGTCAGAGGAGATTGAGAAAAGAGATATTATGTCTATCAGCCCTGTGACCATCTTGGAAGGCTGGACTGGAATGGGCCAGGAGACCATGCTCAAGAACATCGACCTCGACCATGCTGCAAGAAACATGCAGCAGACCACCCTCGAGAAGCGTCACAGCACCCATAGCACTCACAGCATTATAGCCGAGCCTGTAAACATCACCGAAGCCGCTCTCGAAAAGCGCGGCTTCGACCGTGCTCTCCGCTTCTTCAACGCTCCCAAGGACGTCCTTGAGGCCCAGCTTGCCGCAAACCAAGAGAGCGCCGCCTACAACGCCCAACAGCGCGCCCTGACCGGCGGCAAGACCGACAGCGAAACCGGAAAGAATATCGACCCGGATGAAGACTACTTCCGCAAGGGCGGGTCTGTCCTTCTTCTTAACGGCCGTCCCCTTGAAGTGGACGGCCACCCAGTCCTTTTTGAGCCCAAAGAAAAGGAGGTACAGCCCGCACCTGCACCCGCAGCTGCACCGGCCCAGAAGCGCTCCGTCATCCCCGCGCAAAAAGGCGCGCGCGGCCCCGGCCTCGGCATCAAGAAGGGTGGCCTCCGCCGTGGTGACAAGGACTGCGAAAAGGTAACCAAGCTTCAGAGCGCACCGGGCGACACCCGCTCCGTCTCTGAAGTTGGCGGGTTCACAAACGCGTTCCCGGCTTCCTTCGGAGAAGAGGTTGTCAATGTCCAGAAGGGCCGCAATGTCGTCCTTATGAATGGCCAGCCCATGCCTGCCAATTTCGCACAGAAATCAGTTTATGGCGATGACCTGCCCGGTGCTGCCGACGCCCCAGAGGAAGACAATGATGAGAAGCCGTTTTCCCGTGGGCAGATGCAGAAGGATCTTCCGAGCTTGAAGGATATGTGGGCCAAGCACGAGAATGCCGGTGCTCCCGTCACTACCGTCGAGGTGGAGAGCCAAGAGTAAGTGGGGGGAGTACAGACATACACTCATTAAGCGCTGATTTAGGAGGTCTGTTGCATTTTGGCAATGGGCTATGTATCTTGGCTATCTTGCGAGTGTTTTTTTTTGAAACCCGGAACAGTTACTTTTTTTGACTATTACGAGAGATCATCCATTGGAGCTTTTTTGTAGAGAACTAGAGGCGGATGGATGGATCTATGTTTTTTTTTCCGGTGGACGAATTGAATGTCTTCATATAATATCACTCGATCTTGTGATGTAGAAATCTACTACGGAATCAAAATTTTGTTTTTCCGAGCCTGGGAGAAAATCTGGTAGTTATGTCAGGAGCTCGTCATGGTGGAAAATTCTTGTCATATCTAGGTAATCATGCAGCAAAGTCTCTCATTATAACAGAAATTCGTCAATGTCGAGTGATAATCTATGATTGGGCCGGTCTAGCCTGTGTGCGCACAAAAGCTACTTGTACGAGACCACAGACTAGCTACCCATCTTAAGCGATCATCGTGGGTAGTCCACCTCTATGGACTAGTCTAGAACTGAGGGAAATTGCTGTGTACATAGGCTTCTTACACTTAGTGTGGTCGACGATCGAGTCCGATCGAGTCGAGCTTTACTAATGGCTCGAGCTGCTCGCCTATTTAGGAAGCTTGCTCTGTTCGACTCGTGAGATCGCCTCTGCTCGTGGCGAAACTCGAGCTTCCAATCCCTTCGTCTGTTCCCGCGATTCACAACTTTTTGCCGAAGAAACGGCGTGGTGATAGACACAATTTTAACGATAGGTGGTATACACCACTACTTTTTAGGCCAATTTTGCTTGACAAGTGGGTCAGTTTTGCACCGCCGACTGATGCTTCCAGCTAGTCTGTGGATTTTGCGCGGTGAGCCACGAATTGCCACAAGTCCTAAATACAGACGAAGGGATAAATATGTTTAATACCCTAATAAGGCAAAGTACAATACCAAAAAAGGGTATGGATTCGCTACGTTATTCCCGTTAATGCGCTAGTAATGCAGCAAGAATACGGCATTACTACGGTATTCTTTTTGTAATGCCGGTTTAATTCCGTATTTTTCACTAAATCCCGTAGTCATACTGATTTCACCCCGTTTTTCGTACTGTATTAAAAACATTATTTGTGAAAAATAGATCCTTGGTTCCAATTGGGCCAAATGGCCTTTTATCGGACGACAAGAGGGTGGCCAGTGGGTTCGTGGTAGATGATGATTGCAGGGTTAGGTGTCCCCCTAGCTAGCTAACTTTGCCCCCACTCCCTAAGTATTACGTCTTCCCGGCCTTTGGCCAATTAGTCTCCCCAATGGTCAGGGCCGGATGTAGGATAAGGCCGGTTTAGCGAAACTTTTTCAGACCATATTCTTTTATAGTATAGTAGATATATGCTCAAATTTCATATGACTAGAAAGCTCGACCGAGCAACTCGAGTCGATTTTTATAAATTGCTCTGGAAAGCTCGACTCGTGACTCCTCCTGCTCGACCCTGCTCGTGAATAAGCTCGAGCTACGAACTCGACTCGTCGATTACACTATTTACACTGCATGATCGCATCATCATAGGAAGGTCATCAGTGACCGCTCAGACATCTTACTATGATTTGACATCCTATATATGATAAACTACATGGAAATCTATCGTTAGATCGACCGCTTCTACGCTGTATTGGTGCACGTGGTCAGCCACTCTATGTTACGAGTGATATCCTATGACCGCTATGTCCGTAGGAGTAGGAGTATCGCCATAACTCTACATGTCATGTGCTAATAATCCCTTCTTTATATTCTAGAAAAATCTTTCTCTTGCCAGCAAAATCTGCTACACGTACATATGTAAATCTCAACCAACCAACAAATAAACAAAGCGAGCAAAATCTACAATTGGTCCACGATTTCGGGATTCGAGTGACGGTCCATGATTGACGCCCTCAACCGCAATTAACCATTATTTGAATTTTTGAGAAACTATACAACTATAGAATACGCCCTTTTGGAAGATTTTATGCTCTTTGAGGCGTGAAAAAAATGCGCTTTTCTGCAAAATTTGTTAGGCTTTTATAATTAAAATACATTACAGGGACGCCCACACCCACGTGTCACATCCAGCCAACAATCGGTGCATGATTGAATGTATTCTGTCCACTTCACTGGTAGCTGGGTACGCAGTAATTTTATACGTGCATTTTCTACTAGGGAAACGACTTTAGAAAAGAATGGTACAAGTGGTCGTTCAAGGTAACACTCCATAGTTTCAACGGTCTGGTTGTCAGGCTTTCACCCTTGAAAGCCCGGGTCCTTACGTGTCACTGTCCTGTATCCAGGCCCAGCTAACCCTTCCAAAGATCTATCGTATGTATTAGACGCTATTTAATTAATTTACTATCGTAAAAGAAATTTTCAACCCTGACTCATGTACCGTGCATCCCTATATATATCTTACAAAGAAAACATCCAATCATTCCTCCACATATCACACTATTGTCTTCCAAACTCCAACTGTCTGATACTATCAGTTGAGCCCTCGCGCTCCAGATCCACTTTTACCTCGACTGTCCGGATCATCTCGTCATTCTTCATGACAATATTCTCCTCACTCTCGTTCCTTTCCCTCCCTTGGATCTCAGTAGTGACCCCTTGTGCTACGCTTCCATTCAACGAGTGCAGTGGTATTCCGTGCCTGCTACTAGGGTTGCCAGAATATCCCAGTTCACCGCCTTGTGCATAACTGGATTTCGCGAAGGAGGTGCCCCCGAGGATTGATCTGACAAGTGGCTTTAAAGCCGGTGCAGAGGCACTAATAATGCCAACGTTGACTTCGATTTGTGACCAGAGGAGGATATAAATAGCAATATCTAAATAGGTCTCCTATCAGATTATGGGCCAATTAATTCATAGTTTGCGGGAGATCTTACATGGGATATCTCCGCCTGTCAATACCGCAGTTTGATACTTGTAAAGAGCATTAATCCTCACAATCGAGGCCACAACCGCCACACTCCCACACGAGAAGATCAATAAGAGTGCAACTAATCAGTAAAACACTATTGTTAGTCCACCCATCTATATTCCAGTAGCATGATCCCTGACAACCAACTCACCTCGTTTCCTTGTATTAACCTGCAGCTTCATCAACGAAGGCAGCGGCAGCAACAATATCACGATATCCGACAAGATGTTGAAAGACGCCATTGCATAATAAACCACTACAAGATCATTGCAACCTTGTGGGAAGGTCGGCGCCCAAGCACGACTCGGATCCTTCGGACACTCAAAGACCTGATAAGCAGATTTTAGTACAGAAACCAAAAATGGAGCATAGGAGCAAGGCAAAACGAACGTTGACAAAAAACATGGCGAATGTATAGGCGACTATGACACCGCTAACGATATAGATGGCCATTTGGTAACCTCTCGCGGGTGATAATCGGCGGTAGAACGAGAGGATACTAGCTTTAAGGAAGAATAGTGCCAGAAGATACTGTATCTGGTAGACATACCATAGCTTCAACGTTGGGATGATGATGTTGGAATAGTCCTAGGAGTACTTGTGGTCAGTTGTGTGTGATATAATTCATTGACACTTGGATGATTTACCAAGTCAACCGTGTGCTTTCTGGGGAAGAATTATGTACGTTAGCATTTACTGATCTCCAAAGTCTAAATCTCGGGAGGAAAGCATACCCAGTGCCGTAGTATACGTGGAAATAGTTCGTCACTCCCATTCCCCACGCCATGATCTGTTCGTCGTGTTAGCAGCTCGTACTCACAGTGTCAAATACACCGGCCGCGGCTGTGTCCTTACAAAAGCTACCAGCATGATCCAATCATCGCTTCCAACATTCTTAACGATAACACTGCGGCAGTAAAACCTGGAGCGGAAAGGTCAACCCAATGATTCATTCAGGTCCAATGTTTGTTTCACCCAGTTGTACATACCTCAGCGCCATGAACACCGTTGAAAGTGACAGTAATGTGAACATCACCGTCAGCATCAGCGGTCCCAAAGATCCACCAGACATGGCTAACGAACTAACTCCTCCACCGGCCGGGGGGAGTTCGAGCTGTTGAGAATAATAGGCTTGACTCAAGAAATTTTAAGCTTTCGGATCCTATAATCTGTGATCGAGGGCCTATTCAGGATCTTATACGGCCATGCATGTGGTGTACCGATACCTAGGATCCGGGATATGAGATATCGATGATGATGCAGGAACTATTCTGATACCCTACTCCTGAAAGTATTTTGCAGTAGCATATAACCACATGTATGTACCGGTACGGCCCTCGACCCGCGGCTGTACTCGTTTGTATTGAAGAATGGGCGGATTTTACTTTGTCCAGTACGCTCGCAATCGACTGGAATCCCCGCGTTTGGGATAGCCAATTATCACCGGATTGGTTGCAATTGGCTGAGACATCTGCTGCAAGAAAACTTGCACATATACAACACACGTGCTTGAAATTTTTTGTTTATACAAGAAAAAGAATACCTAGGCTCGCTACTGAGGAGGACGCCCTCTTTCAAAAGAAAGGAAGCCGAAACACAGGCCATGGCATGGCTATTTGGCCAGAATATCAGCCCCGAATAGATAAGATGCCTTCTAGTTACAGCCGAATTCGTGCCGTACATACATATAACTCGATTACTTATACCTACATTACAATCCCGAAATAAAATCAACCACACTCTACACGCTTGGCCTGAAAAATTTGCTATCATAGGTTTCTAGCCTAGGTATTTGGCACGGGTTATAGACATAGTCAATGCTCAAGATAGCATATTCCAAACATCTATGATCTGGCTCACCTTCCCGATCAATACTGAAGTCTCGTGAATTGCCTGCATGAAGGCCTATCATCGCGATTGGATCAACTACGCATGCAGAGATCGGGGTAAAGAACTTGGAATTCTCCTCTAGTCCAAAGTTCGGTCTACAAGGGGGATAGTGGTGTTAAAGCAGTACCTGGACTTAGCCATTAGAGGGTAGATTTAGGAAAGTTAATGAATTTGCCGAGACAATTTGTGGAACCACAGCTGGTCTCGATGAGGGATTCCCCACGGGCTGGTTTAGCGACCATTAACTGCTAAGCGGATCCAGATGCGGCATAAATGGAAGGGTGTGGGCATAGGGAATTTGTAGGTAAGGGTCTTCAGCTGGTCTTTGCTGCAGTGAGACCATGCAGGTAAGTGACTTTGAAAGAGCATTTTTAAAATTGGTCATGCCCTTGGTATTTCTCCATGACAAGAGCGTGGGGAGCGGGCTGGACAAAAGGAAAGGAAAGGCATTATTCAATTCATTAAAGAAAGGAGTAGCAGGTCCATACGGAACACGTTGAATACGTAGACACTAGTACTCACTCAATCATGTTTAACTACTTTATTTCTAGACTCCTCAGCTACCCACTCTGAAGGCACAGCACATCTACAAAAAGGAGCCCAGAAAGGCATAGCGTTTGGAACTCGACTAAATCTACTTATTTTGTCGCCAGAATTACATACGACTTTACCCCATGTTCTAGAACACTTGTTTATTTAGCGGGTAAGTTCATCCCCGGGATGGTATCGCGGCTGAGCGATCCGAGCTACTCCCCGAGTAGCGGCTTCGGCACCAGCGTGCGGCGTATGAGCGTTTATGCATGGCGCGTCAGGAAGGCGTATGTGGAGGAGCACGGTACTATGCTCTTGTGGGAGCATATGTATACATACGTGCCATACGGCATAGGCACTTTATCGCGACTTTGACTAACTTCCAACTCTACTGGTTCCTTGTTGGGATCGATCTTGATAAAAATTGGAAATCAACCTCCCCTATGATCCCCGGGCCCCCGGTTTTGTGGCTTTTTTTTTTCTTTCTCCCTGAAAAGCAAAGAAAACCTCCGCACTATAATGATGCCCTTACAAGGAACTGATTGGTAACGACATAACCATGCTCCAATATCTTCCTAAAGTACATAACCCTTCGACCAATAGACGCCCCTTGCTAAAATACACGTGACTGCAATAATGCTTCACTGGAAGGATCGATACTCCTCCGCAGGCATTCCCCTGAAGAATTTAAGCTTACCCATGGTATCGATCCTTACGATTATTAATATTCCTCAAACCTTAATGCCTCAAGTTCTCTTTCCTTCATACAGCAGGAGGTATGTGGTCTAAAGCTCTTTTTTTTTTTTTTTTTTTTTTGGGGGGGGGGGGGGGGGGGCGAAAAATCGCAAACCATAAGTACCCCCATACTTCATGTGTTTTCCTATTTCCCCCTGATGTTCTTCGGCAGAGACATGTCTAGTGCCGACGTTACCCAGATTTCACAATCTCATTGGTGCTACCTACAAACGTGGGTAGAAGACAGTCACCCTGGGATGTCAATTGGGCGGACAACTCAGTGGTCGGTCTACTCTAGAAAGTAGGCGTAGATTGTTACTATTACCTATCGTACTCTACCTTCCTTAATTTCTCCGTCCAGAGCTGTTGACTTTACGGACGGCTTGTGCCGCCGCACAGATCCAAAATTAAAGGAACACTCACTCCCACGAGATTTAGTAGAGTAGGCTCTTTAGCCAAGATGCTGTGGCCGCGTTCCAAATGAACCAAATACATATTAATAAACATCCGTATTAAGCTTGGTACGAAGAGCTGTTCATTCCTTTCATGGCCAATGTTAACGTCGGGCCTTTAATGATAGCGGTTTCTAAATAGCCATCAGTGAATATATTACCGAGGGCCCTCTATCCGAGGCCGAGCTGGTATTCATGAACCCCTTCTAGCTAGGGAGAAATGTGTACAGTTCCTGTACCTACGCTCCAGCCAATCTTACTCTACTGTTGTTTGATCTAGATACCGGCTTGCCTTCTCTTGTTTCCGTGGCCTCTTGTGATCTGGATAGAATTCGAATCGAATCTACATCACAAGCTAGAGTCCTGACGCCGGGGTTCTGGATACAATTACAACTTGTCCCCGTACTCTACTGGTAATGTAATATGTTCATGATAATGGTTAGCACTAGCCTTCTAATTATTTAACTGTCTACAAGTAGTTAATTAGTAGTAGTTGCATAAGATCATAACCACGAATAAAGACCTCCGCTCCTACCCATTGAGGCTTGTATGGTGGCTCCACACTAGCGCTGTCATATCTGCACAGTTATGTACTACATCATATATCCTCCCGTCCGGCAAATTGGATTAGTTGTCGCCTCAAGCGCTCTTGTGGCGTTGCGGGTGGTGGACTGCGGAGAGGTACGTACAATACCTTACTCTACTTTTTCAAGTCTCTCGAAAAGTGCAATTAAGCAAGGAAGAAGAAAAAACGTCTCACTGGCAATGTTACATAGGGTTAACAGGTACACATGCACTTTGAGTGTCAACTCGGAACACCTGTGCCGGCCGACACGCGCGTGAGGGCACGAGGGTGCTCTATTCGCTAGTGCCTAGTTAATATTGATATATCCTACTTCTTATTGAAGACGTTACACTCTAGTCATAGATAAATACGAGGGAGAGCCGCCTTTCCGTAGGATTTTTGCCTATCATCTTGTTTTTGTTGCTTTCAAGAAATCTCCATTCGATTCCTCGATAGTAATATCTCCTCCAGACTCTAATCACATTAATTTATATACCCACCTTATAATTTTTTTCAATATGAAGTTTATTGGATTCACCAGTGCGGCAGTATTGTGCCTATCAACACTCTCCATTGCCTCTCCAATCGCTTCACCTGAGTCATCAGATATCTCTTTGGCCTCAAGAGATTCAAACAGATGTCGCGAGCCCATTGTACGAAAAGAATGGTATGTCTCCCATCTGATTATAATTATACCTGCACAGCTCGACCCAATCCTCATTGCAATATAACTAATAATTGCCCTCCCATTCAGGCGCTCCCTCACTAAGAACGAAAAGAAAAAATACCTCGCCGCGGTCCAATGCCTAGCAAAGAAGGAGTCCATCGGTGCTGTCCCCGGTGCCGACAGCATCTATGACGACTTCCAAGGCGTCCATAGCTCTCAAACCCCAAACATCCACTTTGTCGGGCACTTCCTCCCCTGGCACCGCTACTTCGTCTCCGCCTACGAGAAGGCGCTGCGGGAGGAGTGCGGGTGGACCGGCGGTCAGCCTTACTGGGACTGGCTGATTGACTCACAGTCGGGCATCAACATGACCTCGTGGTCCATCTTTGACCCCAATACTGGTACGTATACTATCCCCTCGCTGCAAGCAGAGATATCACTGGCTAACCTCCACCCCACAGGATTCGGCGGCAACGGCCCCTTCGTCGAGATCGACGAGTCCCAAAACTTTCTCGGCATCGTCGGCCGCACCGGCGGCGGCTGTGTCCAGGACGGCCCCTTCACGTTCGACAAGTTCGAGCTCAGTCTCGGCCCGTCGCACGACGTCAACGTCTCTAACCCGCACTGCCTCACGCGCGACTTTGCGGAGCCGATCGCGCTGACGAACCTTGTCCCCGAGGTCATCGAGGAGATGATGTCAAAGACGACGTATGGAGCGTTTGCCCGCCGCACGGAGGGAGAGCCGAGTTTTGATGTGAAGAATGTACATGGTGGGGGACACTTTGGCGTGGGTGGTGTGTTGGGTGCGATTGGTGATGCTTATAATAGCCCTGGTGGTGGGTTGCCCTTGATATCTGGTAACATATATTGATGATGGAAATATGTATTGACGGTGTTGTGTTGATGTAGACCCGCTATTCTACCTCCACCACGCAAATCTGGACCGCATCTGGTGGCAGTGGCAGCAGCAGGACCCAAAGAGACGGTACAAAGACGTCTCGGGCCCCATCGTGCCATTCGACTACACTAATCTCTCCGGAGGCAATGTCACGCTCGACTTTACAATTAACCTTGGGAAGCTGGGCAAGTCAGTGCCGCTGAGCCAGGTTGTGAACCCCGAGAGCGGGACGGTGTGCTTCACGTATGCTTGATATCTAGAAAAGCTGTGGTGTCATGTGGTGCTTGTATATTTTGGTTGTAAGATTTTGAGTGTAAGGTTTTGGGGAGCGTGTAATCATAATTTGTAATTTTAGCATCTGGGATATATCATCATTTACTCTAGCTATGTGCTTGTCCTAGACTTTTAGCCGTGTGCGTGTAGTGCAAGCTACTAATAGAGATGAATCGAATGCACGTGTGACATTGGCGGGGAGATGACTGAAGCTGTGCTTTCTCTGGCCTGGGTAACTTATACATGGCAGCTCATGAATAAGAGTGACATATATATGGCAATGAGAGATGTATCCATATCTTTACAAGCCCACCTAGTGTGGTCCATGAGCCGAGCTTCCGGCCCGAGCCCAGTGAGCCTCGCCCTCCAGCGAGCCTGAGCCGGCTTGAGCCGTTTTCTCTAATATAAGGCTCTAGCTTAGGCTCGAACTCAATTTATTTGCTTTGAATTATGTAGGCTCCAGAAGCTAGCTATGAAAGAAGAAGCCAAAAAAAGGGGCGATTTCTACCCATTCCGATGCCCACATAGTTAATTATAACCAATTAATTCCTTTTGTTCTCACAGTATATATCAAATCCATGAAACGTTAAAGCATATATCTAATAAGTATATAGATATACCGATATGCAATGTGTTATTTAAAGGTTTTGATTGGCCAGGTTTGAGGGGTTTTCTTTTTCTCTATCAAATATGTTTGTCAGTAAGTAGATATTCCATCAAATATGTTGGAGTTAGTAGATATTCTATCAAATATGTTTGAGTCAGCCAGTAGATATTGGTTCCAACATACCTTGAGTCAACCAAATAGTATATCAGATATGTGCACAGGGCATCTTGGGGTTTCAGTGATCTTAAGCGTTGGTAAACTGATATTGTTTAAGCCATAACAGTTCCTACTGCCGGAAAATGCTTGTATATATATATATCTACCCATTTTGCTCATGCACTTGGTGCAAGCATAACCTGTTTTTTTTGTTTTGTTTTGTTTTGTTTTTTGTTTTGTTTTGCATCGTTGACCACCGGCCGGCTCGATCGATCGCGCGAGCCAGCTGTCTACATATTACGAGCCTGCGATCACCAACGCTCGAGCTAGCCTTGCAATTGCGCGAGCCTCTGTCTCGACCCCAGGAGCTGATATGTCGGCTCGGCCCATGGACCACACAGTGCACGTGATGAGCCCACCCCATATATACTAATAGACAGATGCTATATATATATACATACCAAAATTTAATCTCTCCCTCGAACATCCCCCCCCCCCCCACCCAAGCGGACCTCGCGCACTTACAGTAAGCTAGCATGCATGCCTAACCCACTGGCTATAAGATGGGCCCAATTATTATATATGTATTGAACAAAAAAAAAAAAAAAAAAAAAAAAAAACGCCACACGGTGGGCCACTCCGCTTTAGTGTAATTACATCGCTGGTGACTATCTCGCATATATAGCTTTTGTGGGGGGGGGGGGATGATCGTAGTCATGGGTTTACCGCCCTTTTTTTTTGGGGGGGGGGTTTGTTGTTTGGTGGGCGGGGTGCACTGTTGTTTTATGTGTATAGATGGATGGATGGGTTACGCATCTAATATATGTGCACGTGTATGGGATATAGAGGAAACAATACCTCACGGGGTGGCTATGTATATGGGGTAGTTGAGTGCCAGCTTTGGAATTTCTTAACCTCTTAACCCCCCCCCCCCCCTTGGAGCATGTTCGCATCAACGGGATATGGGGTAATATAATATACTTCTAGCACTTGGGGCTTAAACCCCCAGAAAGAGGCTGTAAATGATCCACACAGCAAGAAAAAAACACCAGGAACCCTAACCCGGCCGGTGGGGTGTGGGGTGGGGCCCCCGTATTGGTAAGCCGAGTGATAATGTGTGATGGAATTTCACAATAGGGATTTTTTGGGTGCGTTTCTTTTTTTTTGGTTGTACTTTGTTACAGGTTTGCTGACGATTTGCCTTCTTCTACTGAGGGTACGAGGTTTCTATTTTAGAGGGTGGGATTGGCGCTGTGATCTCATTAATTGTATGTTGGATTGTGGGATTGGTATGTAATTATAATTAGGGATTCAAACTTTTGTCTGGTATTAAACGTACCCTCCGCCCTCCCCCTCGGTAGTAACAGTGGTGTATTAATGCAGGTTCTTGTAAAACTCATTATACGCATTCTCGATATCAAACAACATCTACAGCACCCCCACATCAGCCCTCTGCCCCCCCCCCCCCCCCCGGCGCAAGAAAGCGATAGCAAACTCACCTGTCTCCCCTGATTCTCATCAATCTCGTCTCCGGCGCCCATCTGGTTGAGCACAATCAGCCACTTTACGATATTCTGCCTGCCCTCAAACTCCTTCGCGCCCGTGACATTATTGACGGCCGTGATGACGTCGCTGAGCAGCGGGTGCAGCTGGTCCTTGGCCGTGTACGACAGCCGCAGCGCGTCCATGAACGTGATGAAGTTCTGGGTGGCCTCGGCGGCGGCCTTGGCCGAGATGGCGGGCGCGGAGGTGTTGGCGGAGGTGGTGGAGGTGTGTGTGGGCTGCTCGAAGGTGGCGGGCACGCCGATCTTGAGCCGCTCGGTGGCGGAGGGGTATTCGATCTGGGGTGCGCGGGGAGGGGGTGTTAGTGCGGGCGAAGGGGAGAGAGGGGGAGGGGGAGGGGGAGGGGGGGAGAGACGTCGTATTCGCGCTTGAAGGTCTCGAGGTCGACGAATGCGCTGGCGACGCCGGGGGACTTGAGCAGTGTTTTGTACTGGCCGAGGAGGCGGAGGCAGGTGGGTGTGTAGCTGTGCACCACCGGTCCATCCTCACTGTCAGCACCACTTCTTCTTTCCTCTTCAGCCGTGGAAGACATACACCCCCTGGTTGATGCTGTCCTTGATGTACGCCTTCTCGAGAAAGTCCAGCGTGACAATGATGCTGTAGATCTCGGCCAGGCTCTCGTTGAGCTCGCGCTGCTGCGAGGTGGTCGACAGCTTGACCTCCTCGTCGAGCGAGATGCTGGTGGAGAGGGCGTGCGGCGAGGGCGTGTAGGAGTAGGGCGAGGGGGCGTAGGGCTGGTACTTTGGCGCGCTCATTGTTGTGGGTTGTGGGTTGTGTCTGTTTCTGTGGTTGTGGGTTGTGTCTGTGTCTGTGTCTGTGGTTGTGGTTGGTGTTGGGGTTCGTTCTGGGTATGCGAGAGATGACGTCTGCGGGGACGGGCCCGGACAGGGATCGCTCGGTGCGGGGGGAGGGGCACGTGCGCACAGCTCGGTTGAACGCGGAGAAACAGAGGCAGACAGGCAGACAGACAGACAGACACACAGACAGACAGACAGACAAAACCCGCCAGTCGACCTCAGCCGGTGGAAGAGAGGGCACCTCGACATCTCAGTTCTCATTCACTCAGTCCCTCTCACTCACCCAATTTCTCTAATACCCTCCATCACTCCAACGACCCCGAATCCCCCCATCCCCCCCCAAACCACTCCCCCCACTCCACTCCCCCGCAATGGCGCTCGACTACGGAAACGCCGCGCACCTGCTGCCCACAACATACAAAAAGACCGTCGCCGACTGGCTCGCCGAGGACACGCCGTCCTTCGACTACGGCGGCTTTGTCGTCGGCGAGGACGCGAAGACGGCCACGCTCTACGGGAAGTCCGCTGTACGCCCCTCCCTCCCTCCCTCCCTCCCTCCCTTCTTCCTCTACAGTTCTGAGATCGGGGGCAAGAGCTCCAAGCTAACTGGCAATGCTCAATGACATAGGGTGTTCTAGCGGGCGTCCCCTTCTTCGACGAGGTGTTTGCGCAATTGGGGTGCACGTATGGCTGTCCCCCCCCCCCCCCCTACTACTACTATCTATATATATCTGTGTGTATGCACGCGGGAGCTAACAAACCCCCCCGCCCCGCAGCGTCGAATGGCACATCCCCGAAGGCGCCTCCTTCACACCCATCAAGTCCGTGGCCACCGTGCGCGGCCCCGCACGCAAGCTCCTCCTCGGCGAGCGCGTCGCCCTCAACACCCTCGCCCGCTGCTCCGGCATCGCCACCAAGTATACTAACCCCCCCCCCCCCCCACTACCCCATTTACCCCCGCACTCCCCCCCCCATACCACCCCATTACTAACCCCCGCCTTCTAGATCCCGTCACATGCTCCAGCTCGTGCGCTCCGCCGGGTACACCGGCGTCCTCGCCGGCACGCGCAAAACCACCCCCGGCTTCCGCCTCGTCGAGAAGTACGGCATGCTGGTCGGCGGGGTCGACCAGCACCGCTACGACCTCTCGTCCATGATCATGCTCAAGGACAACCACGTGTGGTCCAAGGGGTCGATCACGCAGGCGGTCGCCGCGGCGCGCTCGGCCGGCGGCTTCGCGCTCAAGATCGAGGTCGAGGTGCAGAGCGAGGCGGAGGCCGACGAGGCGATTGCCGCCGGCGCGGATATCGTCATGCTGGATAACTTTTCGGGCGAGGGCTTGAAGGTGGCGGCGACGAGTATCAAGACGAGGTGGCGGGGGAGGAGGCAGGTGCTGCTGGAGTGCTCCGGGGGCCTGACGGAGGAGAATGTCGAGGCTTATTGCTGTAATGGTGAGTGATTGTGCGTGATGGGGGCGAGTGATAGTTGTGATGCTGATTAGTTGGGTGTGTTGTCTGGGCGTAGATATCGATATCATGTCGACGAGTTCGATTCATCAGGTATGGGCTCCTCTTAGAGAGATGTAATCGCGGCAGTGATCATGGACTAATGTTTGTGAAATTGTCGCAGAGCACGCAACATGTTGATTTCTCGCTCAAGATTGATCATTGATTGCGGAATCCCAAATAGAACGCACGCACGATTGATGGACACGAAGCTAGAAATTATTTATAAATTATCAAAGCAATATAAATACAGGCCACAAAGAAAACACAGAAAAGAAGCTAAACATGAAGCAAAATACAAGTTAAAAGTACAGAGCAATTCTCCGCCAAAAAAAAAAAAAAAAAAAAAAAAAAAAAGATAAAAAAATACAAGTAACGTTATGAGCGATCAAAAAATCCCCCTAAAATATCGACAAGTTTGAAAAGAAAATTCGTTGCAAAAGGTTTTTTTTTTTTAAAAAAAGGAAAAAGCTGGAAAAGAACCAAAACCCAACAAAGGTAAACCACCACCGCTTTTTAGAACCCCATTCCCACCCATGCCTTGTTCTAGATCAAACCCTTTCCCTCCCAAAAAAAACCCCCCCCACATTACTAAGAAACCCGTGCCGTCGTTACAATAAAGCCCAGCCCATATGTCGCTAGAATACCGGTATGGGAAATGGATAGGAATAACTAATCAAAGAAAGAAAAAGAAAAGAAAAAGAGTACCTTTTCCCGTCACAGGGTAAGGGTCAAGAAAGTCAAAAAAAGAATACAGTACTGCGTACTCCGCATTCCGCCGCTATAACGGATTGCAATTACTATTTTTCAGCGCCAATATCGAGAGAGGGCATCAGCAGATGACACAACATCCAAACTTCTTTTTCGAGGCACCAGAAGCAGATCCATTTTCCCCAGGTTTCGGAGTGTTCGCGCCGCGTTCCTTCTCGTTGTTATTGTTGGGATTCTCGCCATTGTCGGCCATTGATTTCTGCTGCCCCCGCCCAGAATTGGCCGCAGCGGTGCCGTTCCTGGCAGCTTCTCGTGCGGCCACGACGCGGCGTACTAGCACTGTTATTGCTTGTCAGAAAGGAAACCGTATAACATGGGATGGTTTTGAAACGGTCTGTGATGTCGTTGATATGTGAAACAGATGGAGATACAAGATCTGAAACAAGATCGAGTGCTTGAGTGTGCTTGAGCCTGATTGGGGCATTACTTACGAGCAAAGGTCTCCTCAACATTAACAACGTTGCGCGCGGATGTCTCCATAAACCTATACCCATCCCAGAATCAGCCAAATACGTTCGTCCAGCGCATACCATCATGACAACAATAGCATTCACAGTGTCCCCTTGTGATTCGTTCCACCACCTCACTCCTCACGGGATAAGGGCCCAGAGGGAACATTCCAGAACCCCCTGCAACTGTCCAACTGGAAACCACCGCCATCTCCTCCAATCCGCAGTCAGGAAATCTGAAACGTACCCGCAATCATGACTCCTGGCCCACGCGAGTCCCTCCTGCGATGAAACCTGCCTCGAGTTTGCAAGGTCACATTTATTGCCCGCAACAATCTTCACGTGCGGGACGGCGCCCGGCTGCAGCATCCGCTCCTCCGACTCCATCTCGATGATGTCGTTGAAGTAGTCGAGCTGCAACAACGAGTCGTGGTTCGTGATGTCGTAGACAAGTAGGTACGCGTCCGCCGCAAGGTTCTGCTGTGCCCATAGTCCGCGATATCTGACTCCCCCGCACCCACGTCAGTTGGGATATCTAATTACAGATTTGGCATCATGTGGGGCAGTAGTGGTAGGAGTGGGGTTGAGGCTTACTCCTCTTGTCCAGCCGTGTCTACGGATTAGGAGATGTGTTAGCATTGGAGTTTTTTTTGATATGTGTGGATGGTGAGTGGCTTGGGTGCAGAAATCGACATACCCGTCAGCGATAATTGGTACTCGCGGCCATCGACGGCCCGGGTCACACTGTAGCTGTCTTGTACGGTGGGATCATATTCGTGGGTCCACTTGCTGCGGACAAGACGAAGTGATATAGAGCTCTTTCCTGCAATGAACGGATGCCACAAAACGAGCGGATTGGAATGTCAGTCCGAGTTTTTTTTTCTCTTTTCCTTTGCAATGATTGGCCCGGTGATGGTAATAATGGCTAAAGGGGATATATGTGATAGATGATGATATATGCTGGGTAACAGCTCTTTTCGAAATGCGCAGTGGGTAAGAGGTGCAGCGGCCAAATGAAGGGGAGGGGATGGGAGGGAGGAGGTAGGGTATTTCGTACCAGTACCGCCATCACCACAGACAGTGATCGAGATCGTTTCCAGCATGTTGAGTGGTATTATCTTGGGCGTGATTCGAAGAAGGGGGCGGGAGTGATGGTGTATGTGGTTGTTAATGGTTAATGGGTTATGTAAAGGAGTGAATTCCAAGTTATCGTGGCCCGTGAGCTGCTGCTAGCTATCCCGTGCCTGAGGAGGATTTGCTTGGAAATCCTGGGTAGGTATCTCACTGGGACCGATCTATGCAGAAGCCTCCTCTCGAATTGAATCGCAAAGTCGCAATCTGGCCAATGCTCGCTCTCTTTCTCTCGTTCCTCAATGGGTCGGCGTGTGCGTATGTAATGTAGGCAAGGAAAGGGTGAGTGAATGAACGAAGCAAGATGGTGAAGACTGACTCGTCAATTGACGTGCTTACTCTCACTCGCTCACACTCTCCCTCGCTCACGTCCTGTCCCTTGTGCGTATCAGCGTGTGTATATGTATAGAAAAAAAAAGAGAGTCAAAAGTAGATAAATGTACATACAATATCGCGCCATGATAGACTGCACATTCCAAATGGCCTGCATATTGCCTCAACCTCGACTCTCCTCCGCGCTCTCCCCCCAACCCAACCCAACCCAACCCCTGTTTGCTTTTCGCTTAGATTGCATCTTGCAGCTCAGCCGAGATAACACGCACCGGGGGACAGGAACAGGACAGGGTCCACACACAGACTACACACGCACGCAGCACACCACCACGAGCGACAGAGACAGGGAACAAGGGCTCTTCTGTTCCCTCGAAAGGCTATCTACACTGCTGCTGCGCTCTATATCTGCAACGCCGAATTATATTTCCTCTACCACTTTCAGAAAGACTTCGCCCATTGGGGGACGACGGGGGAGCAGAGAAACCCCTCTCTATTGTACTAGTATGTACCTACATACGAGCCTTTTGATTTGAGGGTCTCTCTTTGGTATCATTTGCCTGTTTGTCTCTGTTGTAATATCAGTCCCCTCGGCAGGTCCCGATAGGAAAGTCGTTCTATGTACTCTATGTGCCCAGATAGGTACATGTGTGTAGCTTTTCTCTCCCATAACTTACACCACGCACAGACAAAGAGCGCTCTTGCCTCTCGTATTGGATGGCTGCCTGCCGCTTGGGTGAACGCGTGTTCTGAATCCATGGCGAACCCCGAGCAGCGAGAGGGAACAGAGAACAGACAGATATCACTGCTGCTGCTCTACCACGCGCGCGGGTGCTGCTCCGATTGATCGGTAACGACATGTCGCAACTTTACCCTGTATCCAAACAGTCAAAGGGAAGAAAAGGAAGAAGAGGGCAATTGTGGGAAAAACAAATACCCACGCGCTCACGGTCCCGCAAAAACCATCCGAAGTTTCTCCGTTGCCAATGCCGTCTCTCTTCACCGGAGGTCTTACAGATACACTACATACCACCGGCCACCCAACTCACCACTTCAACGGCCACCAAAAACTACTGCACATACATGCACAAGTAGCCCCATTCTAAACTACTACCCCCTTCCTCCTCCTAAATGCTTAACATCTCTATCTATCTCTCCTCCGAAGAAAAAAACGAAAATTCGTCTTGTCCCCACTGGCCGCGAAACGAACCGACGTCACGGCTATGTTGTTCCAGGCCAGAACAGAATCCGTACCTGCACAAGATCGAGGCTCTGACGTTGCTGTTCCCCGGTGGAGAAAGGGCTCGCTCGATAAACGAGTTGGGTTTAAGAAAAATAAAATACAGCGGTCTGAAACGCAAGTCCAGCATTTTGCCGGAGCTCTCTTCACCCCTGAACGTCGTCATTCTGCTGCTGTGGGTGATAGGCGAATGGCCACTTGAGTGGAGCGCTCGTGTAAGTAAGGTTTTGAGGCTCTGCAGAGCCGCCACGCTAGCCCGGTTTTCGCGACGAGTCTGCTGCATCTTTCTTTTCTTTTCTTGTCGCGACTTGTTCTACTAGTAATGCTTGCTTGCTTGCTGCTACTCCGGAAGGACATGATGAGTTACAGCTATCACAACCAATTCGTAGGTAACGAGCGATACTAGTACAGCAGATAACAGAAACAGCAACAGATTGGATTTAAGCGCTGGCAATCAAACGACCCGAAATGAAGCTTTGGCGTTTTCGACTAGCTCATGTCGTTTGCACCAAACTGCTCTAACTAACCTCGCTTGCCTGCAGCTCTCGAGACACAAAACAGGAAGTATGGTCTGGTCTCGTACTCTAGTTCTGACAGGCGGGAGGGAAGAAGGAGGGGGAACGGCGCACAAGAGCGAGAGAGAAGAAAAAGCTTGTTCTTTACGCTCACGCCACCAGTAACTTGGTTTCAGGATGCCGTGCCAGTCTCGTGAGGTTTTTTTTTTTTTTTTTTTTTTTTTCCCTTGGTGTTGCGCATTGAGCGGGATGCTGCTGATGTTTTGATAACTGCACGTTTTGCACCACAACATGTAATCGTGATTATTGACGGCGGCACAGCGCCTATCGTGAATTGAGCGTGGTGTTTAATTTGAGTTAATCAATTCCTCTTCTGGAGAGAAATTGGGAAACCTCGGCCACTCCCCAAACCACCCCGAATCGTGACACAATTATCCGCAGAGTACCTGCAGTAGTATTTACTACGTAATAACTGTAAATTGAAAGCCACAATTTACAACGGTCCCCTTTTGTTAAGCCGTGAAACGCCATCTTTAGGCTTTGTGGCTGGCTGGGCGCTCGATTAAACCTCAAGCTATTACTCAATCCATGCACAAGTGTCAATGATCAACGGTCCACAATTTCACGCAGCACACACCCAAATGTCAATGATCGATAGCGTGTAAATTAATTAAACAACCCCACCACTCTAAAAGTAATACTAAATAAATAAATAAATAAATAAATAAAATCAAGGTAAAATCAAGGCCTAGAACAAGTAAATAGTAACGCGCATCTAATAATAGAAAAATAATACTAATTAATACACCTACTCATTTCTTCTCATCAGGTGCACACCCTCCCACCATACCGATATCCTCCATAGATGCCAGCGGCATCTCCATGCTCTCTCAGACAAACACACACTTTTCGCTCTACTTCAGACTCGGCTTCCCGGTAAAAGCCCTCTTCAATATGCCCTTCGACACCCAGTGATCAATATGCGTCTTAAATCCCTCCACGTCGACCTCAAACGCCGTCCTGACCCTAGCACACTCCTCCAACGCCACCTGATCAGCGTTGGCCAACGCCCGCTTTTTCAACGCCTTCAGCGCATCATGGATATTCTCAATGCGCGCCTTGAGATACAAAAAGTCAAACGCCATACCCGAGAGGCTGTCAGTCCCCTTCTCATGCATAATTCTATAATCACCCTTTAGCACGCCTTGCGCAAGTGATAGGCTCCGGATTTCGGCCTCCAGGAAGCCCAGTACCGTAGTATGTGGCAGTGCGACTAGGTTACGTGGGAGAGTATTTAGCTGGAAGATGTCGATTGCTTGCATATAGCCCTCTAGTTGACCTTTCTCGGTGACTATAAGGTCACTACTGGGGAGGAACTTAGTGAGCTTAGTGTTGATGAGGGTGCGGCGCTTCTCGAGGTAATGGTATTCGGGGGTATCACGTTCGCCGGTGGGAAGTGGGGCGGTTTGGGCAGCTGCGAGGAGTTGGAGGGTATTTGAGAGATCGATGATGTCAGTGTAGAAGAGCTTCAGGCCCGGGGTGGTGATGGGGTAGGGGGTGTTGTCGGGGTTGGGTTTACCAATGTTCCAGATGGGAGTTGGTGGGGAGGTGTATTCAGCTCCCAGGGAGGTGTTTGGGGCTGGGACTGGGGCTGCGGCTGCACTGGAGCTAGACATGGCTGATTGGGTGATGTTTTAGTTGACTGGTGATAGTTTGGAGATGTGGGTGTAGATTGATTGCGTTAATGACATGGAGTGGCATTGGTGGCTGGTTCTTATATGCTACCAGTGATTCCAGCATCTCGATAGTATTGACATATTTCCCCGCGGTGGCTAGCTAGAGCTTTATTGAAAAGGTTACGATTTAACCACCGTAATATTGTATTCTTTTGTTCAGGATGGCCTAATTCATAGCAAATTGAATAGAGTAAAGTAGACCCCACGACGAGATGGCGAAAACAGGGAGGGCAGTTTCAATAGCGCAGCCCTGGTTTTGCAATGCTCAGAAACGTACATAGTACATACCTGTTAACTTTCATGAAGCTGCATAGAACGTGACCACAGCATCTCCAAATTCAAGGATATTGTCTCACGCTAAGTCGTGGGATTAGAGTTTAGTAGGACTGCTAGTGGCAAGCGGGCCTTATTCCAACCCCACGCGTGCACAGGAAACACCTCTTAACTCGAGCAGCTTGTTCAGATTCTGCAAAAAAAAAAAACAGAGCAGTCAAGGCCTGCTATTCTCCCTCGTTTATCCGCAGCCAGAATGCTCAATTTTCACCATGGTCAACCTCACTCATGATAATGCATCATCGCCTATCACTCGTCCTCCTTTTCTCACTCGGTCACGGGGTTGTTTGATAGCGGTTGCTGATGCTGGCCAGAGTGGCTTCACACACTGACCTCTTAATCTCCCTTGTGCTCTGGCTATATCGATTGTGGCTATTGGCCATATTGTGGCCGAGTTATGAGGCTACCGAGAGGCTTGCCTCAACACCCGAACTGCGTCGGACTACATCACGGTACTTTGCTCAATTGATTAATAACGTGAGGTTTATGAGCGACTTGCCATAGGCAAAGTGATGGATGGATACTTGGAGATTTCTGCATGCATGCATAAACACCAAAATAACTGAGTGGGGAGCACTGACTTATTACCCGTGCCCATACACAAGTACCATACTAGTATACTAGGCCGCCGCAGAACCACCGAACCGTGCCATATCCTACTGATCTTCCGGGGAACTAAGACTTCTTACTGCCTTTTCAAAGCCGCGGGTCGGGATAAGGTAAGGTGAGCGACCGGTGATGCGGGCATTTCCCAAGGGTAATTCATTCGAAACATCTTCCCCGGGGTCAAACATATCCATCAGATCAGCATCCCTTCCCCAATCACATCTGCGAGGAAGGACCTTACCAACACAGCTCACCACGCGATGATCATTTTCGTGATGCGCTGCATATATGCACCAAGAAAGATTTTCATTTGGAGTATGTATTCCCCGAGAACACCCCCGGTCCAAACATTCCAATTACCTACCATCAATCTATCCGTCCATCCACTCGTCCGCCCAATCATCCATCTCTGAATACACCACTCCATTTAGAGTATTCATCTATTCCTAGTGCAGTGCTCTGAGATAGAGAGATACTGACAGACTGACAGACTACATACGGCCCACGATCTCTCGCTCTTCGCTCAATTGTGATATTTATACACCACAGCAGCCTGCCGGTGTGTTTTATCCACGCCCCATCCTAGAGGCTAAATCTGGCTCTGTTTGAAATCCTATGGCAAGATTTCTCAACAACCCACCACCACCATCCCTCCCTACCTTACTAACTATCGTCCTCCATCATGATCAGCCTGTCAGATGCCTCTCACACCGGCCCGAAATCTGGCCCTGTTTGGTATTTAATGGCGCATGGTTGATCACTCGTTTCCGTCCAATGTTGCGCGGTGCGTTGGCGGCGCACCACCACCTTCATGAGTCAGCAACAACTGGGCCGAGAAAAAACTGATCCGCCCAGATAGCTAGCTAGTTAGCACTCTCGTCCATCGCATGGAATACGCGTCACTGGGGGAAGGCGAAGGGAGAAGGAGAGATGCACTGGTAGGCATAGCCTAATTGTAATTGCAGCTCCTCATCAGGAATTTTTGTGATGAGCCTGTCAAGCGCTAGTGCAGTAGGTACGGTACGTACGTTACAAAAGTGAATTTTTTTTTCTCCTTTGGTCTCATGAAAGGAAAGAATTTTTTTTCTCTTTCACAAATAACCCTCTAGGTTGGCGACTTCAATTTCCCTCCTGATAAATAATACTATGTAGTAGCGTGTAACGCGACCCTAAACCCTCCTCTACCACAAGTGCGTTGGCAGCATCACAAAATCTCACCCTACTTGCTCTCATGCTATGCTAGCTAACTAGAGTAGCCTCGTAACGTAACCAGGCAGACATCTGCATAACGCTCTCTCCCCCTCCCCTCCAAAAGCGCACTTCTTCAGGCGGGAAAGATCGCGGTGGTTGTGGTCGTGGTCGAATTTGAAACGCTGGTGTGTTCACCATGACGACCTTTTGGTCCAGTTCCCAACTGGCCAGGCCTATGACGCTGGGAGAGAGGAGAGAGAGGGGGGGGTTGGCGTTCGTTAGTTAGCGAGGACCTGCATATGTGCGACGGCGGAAGTGAAGGAATCCGATGGTCCCGTTGTGAGATTCGGTTCTTTTTGTTAGCTGGATACATGGCTTTAGCTAACATTACTAGCTGGAGCGAAAAAGGTGCAATGCCGTATGATAGTGGCGAGTGATATCGTGTGATTTTGAGGTTGGTATAATTCCGTTCAATTAGGTAAGTGATGTAGGCATATCCCGGCCGCGAGATAGAATATGTAGATAGGACGACGAAAAGGATTCCCGAAAAGATCCCTCGTCTATTTTGGGGGCGCCGGGGAAATACGGTACTGGGTATACTACTACATGTATATACAGCGTATCGGCGGACATGATAGTTTACGGGTAGCAATAAACTTTTCGTCAGGCAGTCAGTCATGTCAGCCTCTTCCTCCCCTCCGTCATCGTCTCAAAGCCCATCCCGTGTCACAAAAGGGCAAAACTGCACCTACTTCTCTCTGTCAGCCAGATAGCCAACAGCACTAGCCTCGCAACCACACTTTCCTCGGTTGGTTGGTGCTGGTATGTATGTAGAAGGCCGCACACTAGCAAAAAGGTTATCCCGAGACAAAACACAATCCTTTTCCGTGGTAACACCACCCACCCAACCCAGCCCAGCCCGACCCAACCCAACGCTCTCACACACTCCCTCCAAACATATTCCGACACCAAAGAAAGAATTTTTTTTCTTGAAAGTCTCCGAAGTCAACCTCACTCTTGCCGGGGCTGGAGAAAGGGGGGAAACCCCCGTAGAGTTGACTTCATAGGAATAGTCACGATGCCCGCTGGCTAGCCACTGGCTGCTTTAGAGAGTAGTAGGAGAAAGGTTGAGACCACGGGTCTGAATCCAAGTCGTCAAATCAAAAACGGAGGACCGAGAAATCAGATTTCACCACTCTCCCCCCGGCCCCGCCTTCTCACTCAAATGTCGTGGAACTCTAACTAATGTAGAATATATACTCCAACCTGCAGGTAAGCAAAACAACAACAGCATCAACAGCATCATCGTCAGTTCTAGGCAAGGCAAGGTAAGTATATGTCAGTAGTTAGCTAGTGTGTAACTAAGAACAAGTAGTGTATTATTGTAGATACATACACATTAAGCTCTCTCCCACCTAAAAGCTCGATGACGATGTCGTATGAAAAGTGTGTCTAGATCTCAGACAAGACCAGAAGGCTTCCTCAACCTTCCCTTACCCCTCCTCTGCCCCTCTCTTCTCGAAGGAAAAAGGAAAACAAAAACACTGCAACGTCGAGGAATCTGGCTACTGCTGCTGCTGATGCATCTCACAAACCCACGCGCAATGAAAAAAAAGCCCAACCCTATCTGCAAGCAAGTTACCTGCAGTCCACCTCCGAGGGATTCTAACTACTCTATGTAGCTGGGCGGAATGATACCCTCGAACGACCCTCCACCCCCGGACGGAACTTTGGAAAATTATACTCTACCCCCGACCTCCGACCTGTTAAAACGTTTTCCCGGTCTCCCTTCCTGCAAAACACCGGGGAAAAATATCTCCCAATTCCTCTTTCATTGCATGAAAGTCTCCAAGTTCCTCCACCTCCTCAGGCAACCCTTCAATACCAAAACGCGGGGTAACTACATACCTGTAAGTCTCCCCCCCCCAAGTTCCTTCACCACCCCCCTTCCCTCAATTATACCTCCCCGCAAGAATCCGACCCAGCTCGGTCATTGGTTCTGCACTGATCGTCGGCACAAGAAGTAAAAAAAAGTAGATGATGGCCATGATCTATCGGTATTTGCTGTGTTTTACGTGCACTGTATCTTTGCTTTTTCTTCTGCTTTTCCAAAGGGAAAAGAAAATAAGGAAAGAAAAAAACTGCCGAATGACGAATGACATGCCACGTGCGGCTCGTTGCACTCGCTGCCTTTGTGACGGGCGAGAGAGAGGACGAGTCCTACCTACCTAAACGTCACATCACATCACATCACCTCACCACATCACATATCATCACATGGTGCGCACCCCGCATTCAATACCAGGAGATTCAGTTGGGGAGAGCAACGGAGAAATCCCAGGGAGACGAGCGACCAGAGAGGAAATGCATACATAGCAACCCAATACCAATACAGGAGGTCGCCGTCACCGTCGCACCAAAAAAATTATTTGTTTGATGACAACGACTGAGACGATGATCTCTAAATAAGAAGGGGAAAAGAAAAAGAAACTCTCCTGTGACTAGCTAAAGAGGTTTATCCCAGGGGGAATTGGGACAGAGAGAGAGCGGAGAGGGGTCAAAGGAAAAGAAAAAAAACTACCGTGAAACCCGACTTAGGAAACAACTGAACCGACTGACAGCAATTTCTGGTTATCGAAACACCACTATCATTAACCCCCTGGGTGAGTTTTCGTCATGATGCTAAAAAATAGCAATATTGACAAAAGGAGTCATATTTTAGTTCTGTGGTATGACGATGTGAAAGATACAGACAGCTAGCTAGCTGGGACAACTACTTAGGCAGTAAGTAATAATACCTAATCCCTGAT